CATCTCTTCTCTTCCAGCTATGGGTTAAATAACCACTAAGAGAAAGAAAAGTCATGAATTTCAAACCATGGAGAAGGCAACAAGAAACCACTCCCTAATGTTTTCCAAGAATATATAGCAATTCATAGATAATAAAGAAAAAGAATCTGTGTAGAATCATCATCTCTGTCCTGAAGGGAGATGGCATTTTTAAAAACAAATACTCCATTGTTCCAGACAAAGCTTGGCACAGAAAAATGCATGTTCCAAATTGTTGTATATATTATGTAACAGAAAATATATTTCATATTACATCAAGACCGAGCTTGACTGTTCTGATCATCTCCATTATCAGTAAAACCTTGACACTGAGAAAAGATGACATACAAAGGTTGACACCCTTCAAAAACAATTGTCTTGGATCCATGGTTGGGGAAAATATAGACAGGATCAGATTGGTTGCTATGAGGAAAAAAGCTTGATGTAAAGATTGACATAATTATCCTTATTAGGTGGTGGCTAAATTGGTTTGGCCATGTAATCACAAGAGAATGAAGCTTTATGTATAGACAACATTGCTAGCAAAAGACTACATGGTAGATCACATAAGAGATGAGAAGACAAAATCAGAAAGTGCACTGGAATGCCACTGCTGACTCTTGAAAGGATTGCCTTGGGCAGGAGGAAATGGTGAAGGATCTCTTTGATATTATACAAGTATATATTTCATCAGTTTTCACTTTTAATGCAATCCACTTTACACTTATATAAAGAGACCAAATTTGAAAGAAAACAACCATACACAATAATGGTTCCTCAATAATGGTTTTCTCAGTGGATTAAGATTATATGATAACAACTATTTACTCCTATCTCGATAGTAAGTTTGATCAGTTGATCAAAACGGCAGCTGATATCCAAAACCACCTTCAGTTTGTTGTTAACGGGTCAAAGTACGTCTTGTTAATTTTAACACCTCCAAAACTAGACTGCTCTCTATTAATCATCTGAGAGAACTCCTCCTGACTTCCATCAGCATGGCTGATGCTAATCTTCCACACTCAGTAACCTCTTGTGTCTCAGTGACTTTACTGCCTTACATGAGGTGATCCCGATTTAAAAAAAACAAACTTTTTTTTATGATAAGAAAGATAAAATTAGGACTTAACTGCAAAGAAATAGATTTTTACCATTTATGGAGAAGATAGTGTGAATGACCAAATGTGTCAAAAGTGATTTGCAAAATTTTCATACTGGAGATTTTCCATTGAACAATGATCCTCAATGAGGCAAATCAGTTGAGGTGGATCAATCAAATCAAGATATTGTTTGAAAATAATCAACCTTATATAACTATGGGATATCCTGCAAGTATCAAAATCAAGTACTGAGAATCAGTTGAACCAGCTTGATTATGTTAGTTGCTTTGATCTGTGGTTTCCACTGTGATTCACTGTATAAATATCAGGTTGATTTGGCTGATTTTCTTTAGCAGCAGATCAACTTTATTATTTAATGCAATTTTAAATATTTTGAAATTTAAATATTTTGAACACAATTGTATGCCTTCAAATACAGAAAAAAATGTATTGTTGGCCAGTTTACTATAAATAGGTATTGTTGGTAAATATATAAAAATGTGTTCCATGTGTTTTTATACTTTCATAATGTTTTTTGGTCAGGGAGGGGAGTTCACTATTTGCCCATAGCTGGGACTCAAACAGGTGCTACCTATAATATATATATATATATATATATATATATATATATATATATATATATATATATATATATATATATATAACTTAACTGATTCAAATAACTGTAAAAACAGATATTCTCAAGCTTCTGTCAAGGAAAATAACTGAAATTTAGATTATAACAACCATAATGTGTCTTCTACACACAAAAGAACACACCCTGGGTCCAGTCACATGTTTCACATTGTCAACAATGATAAAAACACCCTTGAATGCATCACTAGTCAATGCTTATTGTTCTGCCAAGATAACAATCCCTTTACTGAATGGAATAGGGTTTATTTCCTATAATCCCAACATAAATTTTGATAATTCTTTTCTTGACACTTACATAAATTTAAAAAAATGGCTTTTAAAAAAATGTATCAAAATTTATAATTCTGTATGGACTAAAGTTGAAATAGTTATTTTTAAAATCATTTTGATTTTTTTATAGTCTAAAATAGTAATGATGTAAATTTTTTTAATTTTTTGGTACTGCTCCACAAAAATATGTAAAATAAGAAATATGCAAGATTTAATGTAAAATAGTGGGATTTTTTTATTTAACTAAAAAAAATTATGTCACAATTTTAATTTGAGAAAAACCTTCAAGCGTACTTTTTGAATTTTTTGTTTAAAGATAACTTTGCGTCCTTTAATGCAAAGCTTAGTCTGGCTCAAGGTCACAAATATACAGCACCTAAACTTCCTTACATACAGTGATGAAAGTATGCTAGACTAGCTTGCTAGCCATCATCTCACGGTGAAAAACTACAATCATTATTTTTCAGAAACTGGAAGTTTTCAAACAAAACTTACGATAAACACAACATTTGAGTACCATGAAGTAGATAAAACAAAAATAATTTTCAGATTTTTTAATTACAGAAATTAATAAAATTGTAATTCTTACAAAAAGAAATATGACAAAATCACTTAATTTTCTCTCAATCACTTAAATATTTACATAGTTATGATAAATTTGTTTCTAAGCAACAGTTGTTTATCACTTGAATTAACGAAAAGAAAGAATAAAAAAAAAAAGAAAGTTCACTTCCTTTTAAGTAAAAGTCACTTCCGGTGACTGCTGATGACGTAGATTGACGCCGGAAGTATATCAGTGAAAACACGATAACGGTGAGTTGAGTGTTTTTTTTTTTTTTTTTTTTTTGTGGATCGACGTGCAGTCATCTTTCTTATTTAAGGTGCTTCTATCTCGATTTTGAATATCTTTAAAAATATAACTGATTCTGAAGGTTTGGGGTTTCACTCAGAAATCTGTTGGATTGTTTAAATATACATCATTACCTTTAAATTCTTCCTACCATCTGTGTTTTCTGTAGTTCTCGACCTGACACAACTGTTTAAGAATGGAAAAAAATGAGTAAATAAGCATTATTTTATTTCTAAAGATTACCGTATTTCCAGATTAAAGTACGGATTAATTTCGTGTTGCAAAAGTGCGGTTAAGAATTATGATATTATTGAAACAAGATGTATTTTAACAAGAAAAGCAAAATTGTTCTCAAAATTAAAAAACAATATTTTGTTCAAACTTTACGCGAATTCTGAAAAAATGAATTATCACTTGTAATAAATTTCTCCAAACACGTTTTTTCCTATTTAAATTCTAAAGTCCCAGCCCTCATTCTTGTTAGTTAACTAAAGCTATTTTTATGGAAACAATGTGTTTAAACTCTAAAAACAAAACCACCAGGTTTATACCATTGAAAGTCTTTTTTCTTTTCTTCGTAATCTATAATTCAATCAGAACTTAAATTTCATAAATTAAATTCCCTGGCAAAATATAAACAGTTTGGTTGATGTTTTAGCAAAATCATTATGCTAAACAGAACTTCCTTATTTTTAAGCATCGACACTCAACAGACACTATCCAGCATCAAAAATAAGTAGCATTTCAGATTTTTATTTATTCAGAAAAAATGAAAGTTTTCACTAGACATTCGTTCAAGACTGATTGATTGACAGTGTTTTTATTCAAAACGATGTTCCTTTTTAATTTGAAAAATTGATTGTGTAGCATAAATCAATTACATTATTTCACATTAAAAAACAACAATATGTCTTGTCTCAGTTAGTAGCAGTATTACTGTATTATTGAAACTTGAGTTGGTTCAGTTACTGTTTTTCTTTTTTTGTTTTTTTTTTCTACAACATCGTGTGTCTAGAGGGTATTTTCTTTTAAGATATAGCAAGAAATCACTAATTAGTTGCTAGTGTAAGAAAAATGTAATCTAGATTTCGTTGGAATAAACATTTTTGTCACAAAACATTTGGAGAAATGGACTAACCAGAGTTTCCGTTTTCATCATTTCGATCACTGTTAAAAATAAAAATTCTATATTCATATTTCAAATGTGTCATTTTGTGTTAAAGCGAAAACTGTTTAATATTTATTTATTCTTGTTAAAGACTATAGTTTTGTTAGAAATTACGAAATAGCAGTAGATTTCTAATAAAACTACAATAATACAGCCTTTAAAATTTCGATTTATTCCTGCATTAGGACTAAATTTTAACCGCTGCCGAATAAAGTGAAAAGTAAGACAAAAGTGCGGTTTTCTTTAAAAAGTATTTATTTCTAATTTTATAAATATTTTAGAACACGTAAGTGTTAATCGGAATTCAATTAATAAGCGGGAATTTCTTTTGTGATTTTCCAAAATCTGCATTATCAATACTTTTTTTTATTAGTAGTTTGATATACACATTTTTATTCATTCACTTTTTCTTTTTAGTGTACATTTTTTTAAATTTCAGCATATTTTCTGTTTACACTGTAGTGTAAAATATTTGGCAAAGTTGAAAATTTAGCGTTATGTTTTATTAATTTCCCTTAAGTGAAAGAAAATTGTCTTGGCAAATGTAGCTTTTTTTTGTGAATCTTGCATATAGTTTGAAAGAAATAGAAAAAAAAAAGTGGGGGACCCAATATTTTACATTTTCGTTCTTAGTGACAATAGTTATTAATTTAAAGAGAATCAAATTGTTTATTTATTTACTTTTATATTCATTTTTTTTACTCATTATTCCTTCCCTTTTTTCATCATACCATTCCATTTTTTGCTGAAGGGATGATGTGTAGTCTAAGTAAAGGGTTTAAAATTGCAAATGGGCGATAAACCCTGGGTGTTTAAATTGCAAATTGGAGATATTCTCTAGGTTTATGCTTTTCAGGTTTATTTTGCTTGATATTCTGTTATTAATTACTTTTATTTTCTCTCTCTCTTTTTAGGGCTGATATTAATCACAGTAAATATGCTTCAAAGATCAGCTAAAATTTTGCTTCAGAATGAGCTTCGACACACTGGTACACACAACAGAGTAAGTCACATCTTTTAAGTAGCATTATTTATTCTTTATTTTTACACTATTTACATTGTTCGGATTGTTGTCTTCGTCTTTATTGTCTAACCCCCACCCTCAGCCTTCAGGTGAAAAACGTTGGAATTTTGCACCGAACCCTTTATTTAATCCACGGGGACATATTGTTTTAATTCCATGTGCCATGCCTTTTCTGGATATCTTAGTTTCAGTTAATTCCCTTTAGTAAATCAACTCTCCAAGTTTTTGTTCACTTCTGCTTTTTCAGGCACTGAACTCACAACTCTTTTGGTCAAGTCACTTCTGGATTACTTATCCACTAGGCCATGTGTCCTTGGAGACATACATCACCTCTACAACAGCCAGAAATATTGACAGATATATATTCTTTGCTGTTTTATTCAAAATAAGTACTTAGTAAAGGGTATAATTTTTTTTTTTTTTTTTTTGAAAAATAGATAAAAGATACTGCAGCAAAGTTATAAAGATGAATTGAGCATGAATGAACATTGAAGAATGATCTGTTCACATTGAGTTATTTTCATGAAAATAAACTTATCTGTGGGTTTGTGATAAAATTATTTAAAATTAACACTTGGGTAAGTATATTGCCCGGAGTAAATATTAATAATTTAAAGTTATAGAATAGTTTTTGTTTTGAAACCAGAGAATACACAAGGAGGGATTCTATTCCTAATATTATAGTTGATCAAAAATAAATTTTGTTTGACCAAATCACCTTAGCTATATGTAATTTTTCTGCATAAGAAAATCTTTCTCTGCTATGTATTTCATACTGAACATGTTTTTATTAATTTTGCATTCTTCATAGTAATTTTTAAGACCTTGATCAGTTCAGTTTTATGTTCCTGTCAATTGTAACATGAAGAAACTTTAATACTAAAAATGAAATGAAGTCATATTGATGTGAACAGTAAATAACTATTTAAACTAATTGCATGTAAACTCTAATGTGCTTTTAAATTTTCTTTTAGTTTCAGTGTGAACTGACATAAAATAAATTACATTTTACTTCTAGAATTTTACGAAACTACTAAATAACATTTTCTATACCTCAAAACAATTTTTGAAGTGGCTTTAATTTTTTTTTTTTTTTAATAGGTATTTTATATGCAGTGTATGAGGAGTGTACTGAAATCTACCCAGATCAATACACTTCCCCAAATCAGTATGTCGATGGTCGAACATCAAAATACTGATTTTAGGAATTGGTTGGATGGGCAACTTTTTTAATACTCCTTTGATTTACAATTGGATATATTCTAATAATTTTATTTATATATATATATATATATATATATATATATATATATATATATACACACACACACACACACACACAATGCTGTGCAAAATAAATGAACCCCTAAGATAATATTTAAAAAAAAAAAACTTTTTTCCCAGATAATCTTAATTAAACTATATATTCATTCATTAAGAAAAATCTTTAAATGAATTACAACTACTTTCAAAATTTTTTATCAACCTGGAATAAAGATATTAATTAAAAATTAAGATGTGCAAAAGTAAGTGGGCCTCTTGCATTTACACTATGTATTTTTGTTTTACATGGTTGCCAGTGTTCATGGATGTAGCTTTAAATTCCTGCCAAGTTGGTTCTGAAAATAAGAGATTATGTTCAAGATTCACAAGCTAAAAACCATAATGACTACACACACACAGTCATTTCCTTAGGACAACCTACAACTTGATTTAATGAAATATGAATTTTTCATATTAAAATATGTATCTATATTATTTACTAGTTCAGCTGTATTCAATCATTTTAGATAAAAAATTGCATTGACACAAATAGAGAAAAATAAAATGTTTGTAAATATTTATTCTGAAATTGTAAAATGATTTGGGATTTTCAGATGGTGGAAGAAGCAGAAATGTGGCGTCAGAAGGAAAAAAAATCTCTCTCTTCCTCATCAAAGAAAGATAAAGATAGAGATAAAGACAAAGAGAAGGACAAAGAGAAAGAGAAAAAGAATAGTAGCAGTATATTCTTTGAGGACACCCGCAAATCCTTCTTGTATGACAACAGAATACGAGATGACACAGTGTCATATGGTAAATGTCGTGCTCATATGGATGATGAACCTTTTCCTTTATCAACTACAAGAAGTACTTACTGGATGAGGCAGCTACAAAAGGCAGAAGAGAAAGATCCTGGAAGGTAATCAATTTTCTCATATTCTTTTTCTCATCTAAGGTTCTTTATTTCACATTTTATAAAATTTACATAAGGAGCATTTATAATTAGGTACATTTGAATGTAGTGAAATTAGTTTATTGAGGCTTTGAAAAAATATAGTGCATCATTAATTAATAATTCTTTGAATAACTATAAACATCTCTGGAATCCAATATATTACGTACAGTTTTGTTTAAAAATGACCTATTTCTGTAAGAAAAAGAAACTAATTATAACCCAACAAACATGATGATTTTGTTTTTAATGTGCATAGAGATACAGGTTAGGATATAACTCTCTCTCATGTTTTCAAATTTATTGAAGTTTTTCAATAAACTTGAAAATGACAGAGAGAGTTATATCCTAGGCATTTAAAATGTGTGTATACAAAATGCTTCAAAGAATTGATCTGACTTTCAATCAGAATATTTTTATAACCTGTCCTATAACAGTTTAGAATTCAAATGAAACTAATTAGGAGTGAAAGGAGCTATCAAAGAAAGATAAATAAATCTCCTTGTCTGTTATTGTACCACTTTATCACAGCCATTCAAGATATCTTCATTAGTCACCCATCTGCGGTTACTGCAGTTCTATTTCTATAGCTGAATTAAACAAATGTGAGAATCATTTCACAAATCAATTTGGTGCTTTTACTTGTGCTGAACAGTGCATTCATTATATTCCTCAAGCGTTGAAATTACATTAAAGAGAAGACAACTCAGGCACCAACATTGATGCTTTAGGGGCAATAACTATATCGCTATATCTTCTCTCTCTTAGACTGTCCGTCATTACTGACGACAACGCTGTTCTTCCATTTCCGTCCGTCTTCAGTGGGCTGCCAAATGAGATAGCAGCCCGATCCGGGAACAAGAAGTTCTCCGGCACAGGTGGCAGGGAAACCTGCCCATATATCACTATATACATTGTATTAATTTGTGTGGTTCATAACATCTTTAATAGATATTGTCTGCTGCCTTATTAAAACCTCATAAAAATAACTTAAATGTGCTCATATTGAAAATCAAAATGAGCACTTTTGAAGCAGTATAATTTGTTTTAAATTACAATGGGGTATTGTGATCTAAATTTTTGGTACCTCCAAAACTTTGGTAAAAAAAAAAACTTTATAAAAACAAAGATTTTGACAGTAAAACATTTATTGTCAAAATTTTTATTATTAAGAGGAAAGACCAAAGGATATTTTTTTTTTTTTTTTTGATTATTAAATTATATTTTTGAATCCTTTTTCGAACCTTCAAAATTTTATTTCTCTTACATGAACAGGTGACCATAAATTAGAATGGGAAATTTGGGTGTCTCTTTGTGGTGAAAAACAATGATTTGGAAATTCTTGCAAAAATCAAATTGTCAGATTTTAATGAAACTTTTAGGTCTTAATGAAATTTAGAAATATTTCCTTTTAAGAAAATCTTGATAAAAATATATATATTTTTTACATCTGTAACCTCTCCACTGCATTCATTTTTATGAAATTTCAAGAAATTAATTTTTCTAGAGTTTAATGTTTATTAGTTATAAGGACAAGTCCTTGGAGAATTTAAATCAAGATTTTTTTTTATTTCTTTTTTTGTTAAACAAGACCCCCATTTAGAAAAAATCCACTCTGAATAGTAAAATAAAAAAAATGCAATAAAACTCAGACACTTGCCTATATTTCTGAGATGATGTATTGTAATTATTTACACTATTTACTGTTGTTCTCATCTTTGTTGCTATATTTGCAATGTTTCGGCTGTTGTATACTTTGGTCTTCTTCAGGTGAACAATCTATCTCAGTAGATGAAATAAAGGGTTCAGTTCAAAATTCCAATCACCTGAAGAAGGCTGGAGCATACAACAGCCGAAATGTTGTGAATATGGCAACAAAGATGAGGACAACAGCCTGAACAATGTAAATAATAATTACAATACCTCATCTCAGAAATATAGACAGATATTGAAAGATTAATAGGGACCCAGTGTACTGAAAATATGAAGACAATTAGAAAAGTTCCATCAGAAGTTGGCACAAATTTTGAACCATCTAACATTACTACACCGATGCAGAGACTTACGACTCATCTCTTCAGGCTTGGCACCAAGAGTTCCTGTCAATTCAAGGAGAGTCCGTCTGGTCACAGAAAAAGTGGGACATGCCCTTGTCCAAGAAAGAATCCAGTACAGTCATTGGATAAAATAGAAACTGCAATCTGATATCTCCCAGAGGCTTGAGGCCTTCTTCAACAAAATTGACAATGAAGAAAAGCATCCAGCATGACCTGGATAAATTCTTCAGACACAAATTCAATGCAGTCAAGGCCTGCCAAGTACAAAAATTAAACAGATTGAAAGTTCAGAAGATGATGCACAAGGTCCATCACCATTCAGTGAAGGCAGTAATGAACATCAGTTAACACCAACTTGAGGAGTCAGTACTGAACAAGGGTTTCAACTTTGCTACAACCATCAGGTGGATACCATACTTGGACATCCTTGCTCAAATTGAGAAAATAGCCTTGAACATCCTTCAGGCTCTGGAAGATGAACTAAGATGGAACGTGAGACAGATACTGGAAAAAGCCATGCTGCCCAAATCAAACATCACAAAACTGACAGTTGGAACCCTATAGAGGAATGAAAACCTCAACATACTACCAGCTGACAAAGGCAATGTGACTGTAGTGATGAAAAAAATGGCATATACAGAAAAACTGGAAGGCCTCATTAGGAATGGTAGACACAGTAAAGAAAGATCCAACAATGAAAATGAAACAAAAACTGTTGCAGATCCTAATCAAGAACAAAGGACCACTTTCCACCTAAGATATACAGGCAGTTGTCTCAGGTGTACACCAAGCTACTTCATATATATACACCAAGCTACCTCATATATACAGTCTCCCTAAAATTCACAAAGACAGTATTCTACTCAGGCCGATTGTTTGCTACCAAAGCTCTGTGCGCCACACTCTGAGTTGCTTCCTTGTAGATATAATTAATTCATTAATAGGAAAGTCACTTTCAAGTATCCAAAACTCTGCCCACTTTGTGGAAATAATCAAAGATGCTCCCATCCAGTCCAGCCAGATGGTGAGCTTGGTGAATTTGTTCAGCAAGGTACTCATGGAGGAGGCACTATCAGTAGTCAGGGACAGACTGGCCTCAGACTCATCCCCTGGAAAACGGACCAGTATACCAATAGATAACCTGATAAGGCTGACTTTCTGTACACACACAACACACTTCAGAATGGGATCAGACATATATTGACAGATTGAAGGCTTAGTAATGGGCTTGCCATTATCACCAGCAATGGCAAACATATACATGGAATACTTTGAAGAAATGGCGTTAGAATCCATATCACTAAAGCCAACCCTATTGCTGAGATACATAGATGACACCTTCATATACTGTCCACACCAGGAAAAGGTCCAGATACTACTGGACCATGTGAACTCAATAAGATCATCAATACAGTTCACAACTGAGAGAGAGAAAATGACAACAAACTAGCATTCCTAGATGTACTAATATCTCAAACAGAGAATGGTTTCAAGACATCTGTATATTGCAAGCCAACATTCACCAGACAATATCTCAACTTCAACTCCCACCACCCATACAGTGTAAAGAAATTGAGCAAAAGTCATAGGTAGTGACCCAGAGACCATATGAAAAAGAAATGGTCAGTATAAGCAGTACCCTACAATGTAACAACTACCGTGGGTACATGGCAGCAGCTCTGACAAACTGGGATAGAAGGGTATAAAAGGATAACAACATTCAGAAAACAGCTTCAGTCTGCTTACCCTATGTGAAGGAATTATTGGGAAAAATACAAAAGATCTGTGGTCCATGTAACAGAACGACCTTTAAAAGTGGTTCAACACTTCACAGACACCTCTTCCAAGTAAGACCCCCGCCACCATAGAGGAAAACATAACTAAGGACTGTGTGTACATCATCCTGTGCAGCTGTGGTAAGAAATATGAAGGTGAAACAAGCCACCATCTTAAGATAAAACTGCAAGAACATTGTAAAGCTGTAACACAAGGGGAAATAGAAAAATCAGGTATAGCTGACCACTTATGGAGAGAAAAGGGAGATCACCACCCCTTGTGAGATGAAGTTGAAATAATAGACAGAGAACATCATTGGAAAATATGAAAATTTAAGGAGTCAGCACATATGCTAGGCCACAAAAATCTCCTAAGCCGACCAAGCATAGAAAAGAATGCAATATGAGAACCAGTAATATGAAGTGCTAGAGGAAAGCAATAACAACAACAAAATTGCAATATGAGCTCTGGTAAAAAAATGTTTATTGAGACATTAAGTTTATAAGCCCCAAAAATTCATACACTGATGTCCTCAAGGATACATGTCATAGCAGATGAAAGTGTTGGTTGGATCCTGTGACCTGGCCCAAAGAGTTGTTAATTCAATACCTAACTACTGCAGTGGGGAACAAAAGAACAACTTGAAGAGTTGAGTTAAAGGGAGATAACTAAGACACCAGGAAGAGGCATGACATGTGGAACTAGAATAATCTACCCTGGTAGACGAAATAAAGGGTTCGGTTTGGAATTCCAATCACCTGAAGAAGTTTAGAGCATACAAGAGCCAAAATATTGTGAATATGGCAACAAGGATGAGGACAACAGTCCAAACAAATAATGTAAATAGTATAAATTAAGACATTATTTAGAAAAGTTTTTAATTGCTTTTATGAACAAGATATATTATGGACACTATTGTCTTAATAACAATATCATCTAACTACTACAAATTAATACAGAATTTTAAAAGATTTAAATCTTTATGAATTATTAAAATTAAAAAAAAAAATGAAAATTCTTGCAAAAATTCATTACTCATCAAAAAAATTTTTTTACTTAAGTAAAAACTATATTTACTAATCATAAATGGAAAAGCTTTTATTTTGTAAATCAATGTTTTCACAATAAAATACGTGTTGACCAACTGATACAAAAAACAAGATATTGTAAAGTGATGTGAATACAACATTGGAAAGTGTAAAAGTTGAATAGAACAACCAACAATGAAAAAAAAGAAATTGAAAACAAAGATAAAAAAATTGTTTTTAAAAATGCTACAATGAAGAAATTTGAGAAAAATGAAAGGATAATAAGCAAGAAAAATGGATTGAAGTAATGAATCTACTAACTGTAGGTAAACATCACAGAATGAAATATCTCAGTTGGGTTAAGAAATTTATAAACTGATTTTTCAACAGAAGTTTTTTAGTGCTGAATGTTAGAGCTACAGTGGATGGGCTTGATGGTTTGGCTAGATGTTAGATCCTTTGTGGAAATAGTTGACACAAGATAAAAAAAAAAAGCATCAGAGGGGAATAGAGTAATGTTTTGGGCTGGTATTATAGTCAATAAAGTTGATTATGGTTCAAAACAAATACAGAGAATTATTGTACGTTCTTTGACAAGAGTGGTACAAGTCACAACCATGAAGCAAAAGAATATATTCATGCAAGACAACATTCCTTTGCATTCTATCAAGCTGACCATTGCCCACCTTGCCAACAAAAGAAAATGTGGCAAGGTGGATTGAAATGGCTTCCTTCTCTCCAGATATTAATCCAATAGAAAATCTGTGATCCATCATTAAAAGATTATATATATATATATATATAAGGTCATCCCATAAGTTCTGTCTGAATTTTGAATAAAGAAAATAAGTGACCAAATGTTACATTTAATTACAGATTCAATCAACAATGTATTTTCCCTGATTATCTATGACTTCCTTCCATCTATTAACAAGCTTACTAATTCCATTATTGTAAAATTCTTTTGGCTTTGATTTGAAGAACTCACAAATGTCAGTTTTAACCTCTTCCTGTGTTACAAAAGCTGTTTCTTCCAAATGATTCTGTAAGCTACGAAACAAATGGTAGTCTGAAGGAGCAAGATCGGGAGAATAAGGTGGATGAGGAATTTTCCGCCCAACCAAGTTCTTCGATCTTTTGTGACGTGATTCTTGCTGTGTGAGGTCGTGCATTGAAACATCACCTCTTTTCGATTCACTAGAGCAGGTCTTTTTTCCCTCAAAGCTTGGTTCAAATGCTCTAATTGCTGACAGTATATTTGAGCATTAATTGTTGCATTAGGTGGTAAGAATTCAAAGTAGATTATTCCTTGGTGATCCCAACAGATTGAAAGAAGAACCTTTTGCCCATGAAGTTCCCTTCTCGGCTGTGGCTGGGGTCCTTCCTCTTTACCAAGACACTGTCTATGATGCTTAACATTTCGATAAAAGATCCATTTTTCGTCACCAGTCACAAGTCTATCCAAAAAAGGTGAAAGAAAGTTGGCGAGAATGGAGAGAAGAGCAGATGTCAACTCGGGATTTGAGGTTGTTTTCAGACAATTCATGAGGCACCCATTTTCCAAGTTTAGGAACTTTTCCAAGTTGTTGAAGATGACGATGAACAGTTGTATAGTTTGAACTGAGAACCACTGCCAATTCCTCAACTGATAAAGCAGGATTTTCTTCAAGGGCTGCTTCAAGAAGCTTTTCATCAAACTCAACTGGACGTCTGGTTCGATCTTCATCTTCAAGGGTGAAATCTCCACCTCTGAATTTTGCAAACCATCTTCTGCAAGTTCTTCCATTCACACATTCCTCTCCATAAACTGAGTGAATGTTTCTAGCCGCTTCGGCTGTTGAGTTTCTTTTCTTGAACTCATAAAGCATTATGTGCCTCAAATGATTCTTGGGTACTTTCATGTTAGCAGGGTTTTAATCAAACAAAATTTAATTTTATTGTTCTCTGAAATAAAATTTGATCAGTTTAAATGCATCTAAACATAAAAATAATGTTCAGCTCCATTAGACATTATAAAATACTCTTTAAATTTCATTCATTTTAAAAAAATGTAAAATTCGGACAGAACTTATGGGATGACTTGATATAGGAGAATAGAAAACAATTATTGAATCAAAACTCTCAGAGACAGTAAAAATTTAATGCTATGTTTAAAAGAGAAGTTAGCAAGATATTCTACTTCCAAACACTGTGATTTGAACTGGAGAGAACACTTCTGAGAGGTTCATTTATTTTCAAAATTGGGATTATTCAGCATTTCTAATTGCTTCACATTGTACAACTTTTAAAACACAGTCCCATTTTCTTCATATCTGCTGATAGTATGAGATATAATGCAGGCACAAATCATACATGATCTCAAGCATTACTATATTACATTGTTGTTGTTTTTTTTTTTTAATCTCTAACATTTGTGAAGTTATAACAATAATCCTTGAACAATACCATTTAAGAATATGAGATATGTAAATAAGAATGTAATTTTAGTCAGTTGTAAATTATATAAGCCTTGATGAAGATGTCTATGTAAAATTTTAACTTGATAGAAGGTAAACCAAGTTACCAGCCTCCAGGCCATTTGTGTATAATTCCTTTAAAATCATTTTTAAATACATTTTAATCTGGTCTTCATATTTTATGTATTAAAGGTGGGGTCATAGTGGATACAAGGAACTTTATCCTGAAGAATTTCGCAGTGATCGTTCTGAAGATGAAGAAAATGGTCATCATCATCATCACCATCATCATCGACGTAAAAGGAGTTCTAGAAAAAGGTCAGTGATATCTTTCTCAAATAGCCTTTGCCACATGAAAAATTTAAGTATTTTAAGCCAAATTTATTTTTGTATAAGTTGATTTTTTTTTTTTTGTGTGTGGCTGCTATAGCTATCTTTATCAAAATATATGAATTTTATGTCCTCCAAATGCTTGTATTGTAATTTATTTTCAATATAAGATGATTAAAATTTAGCTTTTTGCAGTATGTTAATCTTTCATAAGAAAGAACATGCACCATCTTTCTCTTTATAAAATAGAACAAGGAAATTTATTCTAAACATTTGTTGTTTTTTTATCATCTTAAGTTCAACTTGTGTTAGTGTGTTATTTAGGCTTGTTATCAGTTTATCTTAAACAGTTTCTACTGTCATATTTTTAAATGTTTGTTTTATTCTTTCAAATTGAAAAATATTTGATGATATTACTTAGAAACATGTACAAAAAAATTTTTTAAAATGTTTTGACCTTTGACAATAAATTTTATGACTCTTAGAAAATAACCCAGGTTTTCATATATTTTAGTAAATTATTCTTTCAACTGACAATTGAAGTTTGTATCAAAAGCTTGCATATAATTTGACCATAAATTATTTTCAACACTCTCAAGTAAACATCTTATGTAACATAACATTAATTTTGACATTACCTCAAGAGGAGAGATTAGAAAATAATTCCTTTTCTCTACAAGTTCTTGCTTGTTTAGTTTTTTGACATGTCATTATGTTGATGCTTTTGTCGATGTATCAGACTTAAAATAATGGAAGTTACCAGCCTAAAGACTAATAGTTATATTCATTTGTAAACATTTTAGTCAGGTTTTCATTGTTTATTTTTCAGGAGAAAAGAGAAGAAACGCAGACATCATTATAGATCTAGATCTGATGATAGTCGGAGTGACTCGGGACCTCGTCGTAAGCGGCGAAAGAGCACAGGCTGTAGCAAACACAGAAAACACCGTAGATCACGAGACCTGTCTTCAGGGTCAGAAACGGTTCGCTACATTCGACGTAAAATCCGTAAAGAACGTCGACGTCGTAAGCACAAGCCTCGAAGGATTTGTGATACAGACATTGATATTAAACCTCAACTTCATACCAGCAATAGCCCAGTGGTAGGCCGTCGTCATCGCAGCACTAGCAGTAGTAGTCGACGTGGGGGTGGGTCTACACGTGAGCGTTCCTCCATGCATGACCATCGTCAGTCTCGGCACATGTCCACAGACAACACAGACTCTGGTGCTGAAGAAGCAGGCTCAAAGCGGCAAAAATTTCAGCGTGATTATTCTTCTTCCGATAGTGAAGATAGTTATTGTATGTCTTAGTAGTTCCATGGTTGTGTGATGAGTGAATGTACATTTGTTTGTTGTGTCTGTGTCTAGCATAAACTTAAAAAGAAAATAAAACAAAAAGGACAATCCAGATTGAAAATAATAAAATTGTATAAAATTCATATATATCAACAAATTAAAAAAAAATGAATTTTAAAAATAACAGACGTTTTTCATTCACCTTTACTTCTTCATTAGTTTTTCCATTAGTCACTTTCACAAACTATTCATCTTTCAATCAAATCATGTTTTACATCTGTCTCAGTGGAATCCATCTGACCACTTCCTCTCAGGAGAGTTATGTTTGTTTGTTTTAATTAAGCACAGATAACAAATCGTTGCTATAAAATTTCTTTAAATCTCATGAATGATATAGCAGTTAATAGAGTAGGAAATGTTCCAATCAAAATGCAGTCAGTCTTTTTTCACTTTTATGGCATCTATCATTTGGAGGTCTGTCATACGCTTTTGCATGTGTGCACACACACACACACACACCTATATCAAAATACTATAGTTACTGTTGTGTCTAGAATAATAATAGTAAACTGTGGAGAGTTGTTGTGAAGTAGCTTATGGTCAAGTCATTTTCATGGCTATCAGGTTTTGACTTTGAGGAGATATATAATATTTAGTAAAGTGGCTAGTTTATTTTAATTGATGTAATCTTAAGATTAAAATAGATGTCAGATATAATTAGCTTTTCTTAAGGAGTTATTAACTTATTTCTAAATTAGATAATTACTATATTTTCATAAAATTACGATATAAATACTTTTCAAACCATTTATAATTTGTGTTTATCAAACTTGGTATTTTTGTTTGAACACTGTTTTAGGCTATAACATCTTGTGTGTGTAGTATAAACCCTATTTGTGGGTGTGTTTACTTTGTACAACTCAAAAATTTGACATTTAGTTTTATTAAGATATAAAATGCACAAAAAGAATTGAATTTTGCATTTATTAAATCTTTTCTCAATTTTGAGGCAATATAATCATTGAAATACTAGGAAAAGTTTGCATTAAAAGGAAGCTATGGTAATTTGATTATTCCTTGCTACACAAATTAGTAAAATGCTCCAAAAGTAAATCCTTTTCTCTGTTATAGATTTGTGAAATTTCACATGCAAACAACTTTGATATACAAGTATGCATAAAGATCAAAGATATTCTGTGTCTGTTGACATCCAAGTTTCATAGCAAAATTATAAAATTTTGGTAGATAATGTGTATCTTGAAAAATTAGGGTGAGCTATGAAATGACTATTGAAAATTATCAAAAGCAAAATTGAATTTAATCTATTTTAGATGTGAATACATTTTATCTTTATCATGTGCAACGGGCTTGTTATCCAAGTAAAATTTGATAATGTATAGGTTTGGATATGAAATGAATGTAAAGTCAGTGGCTTTTGTGTGAGGAAACAAGAATAAGGGAAGCGGTTTCATTTTTGTTTAAGGATAAATTTAATAGAATGTTTATCTTGTTTGCAAGTGAAATAGTCTTAGTTTTTTGCTTACTTTCAACAGATTATAAGTAAAAATGTGTCTGGGATTTATTTTTGCTTGGTAATCTTTAAAATATTTTTAACCTGCTACATGAAATTCATTTTCTCATTTACCAAATATATGCCTGCAATCACAAAATCCAAACTTTATGTATTCATACTGACATAATTTCATGCTTTGGTCTCAACATTTTTATGACGTGCTCCTTTCTGCTACCCACACCAAAAACACAAATCTACATTTTTTATCTGTGTATCTGTGGTGTGGATTGTGTACCATAATATGTGAACTGCCATTTTGTGCCAGTCAGAAACTCGTAGATTTTCAAGAATAAAAAGAAATCTACTCAGTAATAAGTGTTCCAACTGAACTCTTTATTAAATACATCTTTATCTTCTTTAATAAATACCGGCCTCAACTATTGCTTTTTTCAGAGGTGCCAAAATTCTTGTTTAAAATCCTAGGCAGCAAAATTGGGGCATGGTTTCCAGATTTTTTATTTGTTTTTTTTCCAAATGTTTTTGTTTTGTTCAGGTTAATTTTCTTGTTTTTTTTGCTTTTTTTATGTTTTGGCTGCTGTTGACACTGGCTTTCCTTATATGTTTTATTTTTTAAAAGGTGAATTTTGTTCTGTTTGAAAATGCCAATTCATTTCCAAATCATTCACATCCAGTACCTGCATATTTTTGTAATTTTAAATCTTTTTTTTTTTTTTTTTTTATAGTCAGTAGCTCTCATATATTGATATTTCTGCTTAATCAAATCATGCAATCAGCAGGTTAATCATAGATAATAATATATGGGACTCATTAATCAGAAAAAAAGGTTTCAAAGATGTGCAGAGATGCTGGATGTGATATGTCAAGGAAATGATGTACAACTTTTAAAAACTTAAACAGACGCCCAAAGGAAGGTCTGAACAAAAAAGATAGCCAAAACATCTTAAAGCAACAAAAGATGAGAATTAAACAGAATAATGCAATGCAGTAGTTTTCAGATACTCCAGAATTTCAAGAGTATTGAAGGAATTACATGATTCAACTTGCATGTTTTTTTACTTTTTGGAAATAAGTAACATATAATATTAAGAATTTTTTCTGTGTTAATGTATGGGTATACATTTAAGAAAATGAGTACATTTGATTAAACCTCTTCACGACTTTCAGGATCAAATTGGGAAATGTAGGTATTATTTTTTATGACAATGCTGTGTTTATATATAATTTTTGTTTCTTTAAACCATATCTGTTTATAAGCCTAATTCCTGTTATAAAGTTAGGAGTACAATAGGAGATAAAAACTAGTTCGGAAGTTTCAATTTTGAAATCTGTAATATCTTTACAATTGTATTATGAAAATAATATGTTTAAATTAGTTTAAACAATTTTTATTTCAAGAATATTTAGAAAGCACAGATTTGTTAAGTTTAAGAATTTTTAAATTGATCATTGAAATTGCATATTTTTTAATTTGTGTGCAGTAAAAGTGAATTTTCTATAATGTCCAGAAATTGTTAGAGATTTAAAATCTGATGTCTGAAGGCTATTATTTTTTGGAAAGAGCATCTATGACACTAGTTATTCAAATGTTAAATGAAATGTATACAGTAAAGAGATCTGTTGTAAATTTTTTAAATTATCCACTGTGAGACATATGGAGAAAATGTGTTTTTTTTTTTTTTTTGCCTGAGATGCATTTTATGCATTAATTTGTATGGATATGATTGTATTTGAAATTCAACATCAATTTTCAATAAAAGCATTAGATGATCTCTTCCTGTCTATGTTTCTCATCCTTGTATAGGCAATTTCAACAAGGTCCCCATTTGTACAATTTGCCTGCAAATCTCTCATGTTTCTCAAAAGATGCAGTTTCAGCTGAGTTTTTTATGCTAGTAGTTTGTCTTCAGAATTTTAAATCTTTGATCTTGGTATCATTCAATAAGAGCAATCTTTTACTCGCTTTATTTGTTGTGTGTTGGAAAAATAATTGTCTACACAAAAATGTTTTTAGATATGGTATATACTTTAGTTGTTTGCAATAAATATATAAATTCAAATATAAACGTTTACAAGTTGTAGACATTTAAATAAGCTGTAAAAATACATACATTTTGATATATAAACTATAAAAAAAAAAATCAATATTCCTATTTGTGATTTATTTAGGAATATTCCATCAGAATATTTGACTCTTAGAGAGAAAAAAAAGACTGATTTAAAAAAAAAAAGAAAAAAAGCCTATATATATTTGTAATTATATAAACATTTTCCAAAAAGATACTTACATTCTGTTTTTTGACATTTTTTCTGATAAAATGTGAAGAGGTCAGATGGGTAGTGCTAAGTCACTATATTATGTGGTAAAATGTGATATTTATCTTTTATATTTGCTGCTTTACAGAATCAATGTTTGGAATATCTTTTATTGGGTCTTTTAGCTTTCTATTTAAAAAAGAAATCTGGATGTTTTTCTTGATTGTTTTTTTATTTCTCTTTATATTTCTTCTAAAATTCTGTACATATTCCTAATATTTGTATTTTTTTGTCAACACTTGGATCAGGGATGAAAGAAAGAAAATAGTCTTTCATTTTATTTTCTACTCAATATTTTGTAATAAAGTATCCTGATGCCTTTGTAAATTTCAGAGTTTGCTGGTTAAAGTCCCAACTTTGAAATTTAAAGTAAATTATCTCATCTCAAACAGGATCCCTCCATATAAGTTTTCAAATTAGAATTGGTGATTAAAATGATTGTAAACTTGGTGTTTTTTCTATTAGGAGAAAGAAAATGTTTATTTACATCCAACTAAAAGCACAAACATTATTGATAGATATTTCTGAAAAGTAATAATGAAATAGATTCAGTGATTAAATTGTTATGAAAAAGATGAGCTTCATTACAATTGTTTCATTTAAGTAATGACTTATTGCTTTACAGAAAACTTTTTCTTTAATTTTATAGGAGTACTACTATTTTGATATGATTCTAGTATTCTAATATACAAATAAATGCAATGTAGCATTTTTATAACTGTATTTTGTGCAATATGCCATATTTTTGCTGTAATCATTTAACATTTAAAATGAAAACCTAATTGCAAGTATAATTAAAAGAGGTTTGACACATTTAAATATTTTCTTTAACCTAAATAAAGATATTCAGAATTGTTATCAATTCTCTAGTCATGGTCAACTGTTCTAAGAAAATTTATGTCCTGGAAAAATAGTGGTGTTTGTATTGAGTAAAACAAGTTCAATGTACAATATCTTGAATTTTTTAACTGAAGCATTGTCAGTTATTAATTTTTGAATTGTCTTTCTTTCCTTTTATTTCTACTGCTTTTTATTGCAACTCTCAGATTGTCATTCCACAATTGCTAGTTCAAGTCTTACTGGAGGTTCAGTCATTATTTCTGATCCATACTGTTAACTAATGAAGATATGAGAGTTGTAATAAAAAGCAATAGAAATAAAACAAATATTAATGAAAAGAATTAGTTAAGTAACATTTTAAAAAAATTAACAATTAAAAACAGCTGGGTTCTTCAACATGAATAATATGGTTGAAGTTTTAGTTTCCAGAACAACAGAAAATGCTTTATAGCATAGTTTTCTTTTGTTAAAATTTGATAAATTTAAAATATGGCATCTAGTGTTGATATTTATAAAACTTTGTTTTTTCTGGTACGCATATTTACAAGTACTTAAATGTTCTTAAGTGGTCTCCCATTTCAGTACTGAGCAGGTTCATTGCGGCTTAACTTTGGTTATCTGACTGGAACCAATTATCTAGTGGTGTTGATTGTTAGTTTTCATTTTGAAGGAAATGAGTTACGTTGTCTAAATTAAAACAATTGTAACACAAGAAACAGTTTTGTAATCAAAGATTTCTAACAAATCATGTCATTTTTTAATAAATACTTGATATGTCCAACTTCAGGGTGGCCTCCTTATATTTATCATAAAAGTTACTTAAAGTGTAAATTTGCATATATAGGCTTTTTTTGCTGCTATATGTGTTATAAGCAATGTATTAAGGAATGAAATGAATACATTTTCAATCAATATCTCTTTACATGCACACATATTTTCAATTAAGTATTGCACTAAAATAAAATTAGTTGCTTGTTATTATTTACAAAGCATAGTTTTGCCACAGGTATGGGACACCTAGTTAAGAGCAAACTTGTTAGTAATGATCTACCAGTTCAGTTTGTTGACCATTACAACACACTGAGGTACTTCAGCTGCTTGTTCATCATTATTACTAATTTTACTGTTATTGTCAACAAATCTAGATATATAAATTTTTGCCCCAAATGAGATTTACTTTTTTTTGTTAATTGTTAACACCTTATGCAAGACACGAGGTTACAGGATGTGGAAGAATTAGGAACAGAAACATTAATAATGGGTAGGAAGATAGAAGAGTCATCAGGAGGACAGTAGATAGCAATTGACATTGCATTTAATTTTTTGCAGATTAAAGAGCCAGATGGGAGTTGCACAAGCAAGAAGTGTGAGAAAAGAAAATGTTAGCTTAAAGCTTATGGCTACATTTATCCAGCACAACTGTAAATTGATGAGATCTCGACACCAGTCTAGTACTGTTCTTAAATTCAAAAAGTTTAGGTACCATAGCAAAGAGCTTGTCTGAACAATTACCATGAAAGTATTTATTTGTATTAAGTTTGTTTCATCTTATTGTTGCATTTTATCACAACACTGCAGGAGCAAACATTTCAAAATTGGAAATAAAACAATAGTTTCTCAAAATCTGGTCTTTTATAGGCCATTGACTTAACCACTTCAAATGTTTCAGCAATTAAGCAGAGCATGATTTTGCTACCATTTCTGATATTCTAGACTTTGTTACACAAGAATTAATGAAACGTTGCCCCTTTACAGTTTTTTTTTGAGAATACTTATATATATATATATATATATATATATATATATATATATAAAAAGCTTGTTTTTATTTAGGAACAGGACTTTTATGATTTTAGCTTAGTAGTTGTTTTTATGATTTTTTTTATTTATGGCAAATTTGTAAGTGGTATAAATTCATTTAGTATAATTAAATAAGTATACATTTAATATGAGTAAACTACAAAGAAAGAGTAAGAGAGGAAAGTAGTTTAATGTTGAAGAATACGCTAAGAATGGTTTATTCTATGGCACATAAGTAAATAGGAGGACAATAGACTAATGGATGTATCAGTGCCATTACAAAATGCTTCATGTCTTATAAACATTTCAAAAATATGTTATAGAACTGAAGCATCATTTTGTATTTGACAAAAATAATCTTTCTGCAATGCTATATTTGACTAAATCTTACTGAAACTTAATTGCCTTTTGGTCAAAAATGAACTTAAAAAGAATAATCATTTCACTCTATACAAGCGATTACTGAGTAAAAGAAACTGAGAATATGTTACTGAGGAGAGAGGGGGGGCAATGAAAGAACAGGATTCAAGATGACAGAAAATGATGATTGACATTGCATTTAAATTTTTGAAGATTGTAGTTGACAGGATTACAAGAGAAGAAACTTCTGATATAAGAATAAAGTATAATATAAAATCTACAGTTGAATATTTAAATAGTGAATAGAACTGTGACAAATTACCCTTAACAAATGCATCTCACTTCCTAGTTTGTCTAAAACTAGAATATGATCAAGTATATAAATTTAATATAAATATTTAATAGGATAGAAAACTCTCCAAGGTTAAAATATCTCCCAGGTTACTGATACACCATAAATGACGAGTACTTATAACTGAATGATATTGTAATTGTATATGTCATTAAATATGGTAACTTAATCCACTGTCAACAAGAACAGTTTTTACTGCAGATACATACATCGAAAATGATGTTTCATAAAGAAAGCTGGCACTTGAAGCAAAAGGGAAGTAACTCACTGATCTAATATTAGATTCTGGCCATAGTCTTACAGAATAAAATTTGAAATCTCAATCAAAAAGTGTTTTCATTCAGGGGAATCATTATTTCACTTCTTTGAATTAGCCATATTTAAGCAATTTTGCGAATTTGGAAAAGTTTTTGTAAATTATGTAATAGTATTATTTTTAAATGTGTGTTTATATTGAGGCAATTTCTCATTTATTCATGTTTGGTCAAAGACCAACTAAAGTTCTTTGAGATTTTTTTTATTCATTTATTTCTTCCTGGGTTCAGACTATTTTCCTGACTTTCAGACAGAGTTTGAATAAACCCAATACCCACTGAGATATGAAAATGCAATAGTCAAAAACCACCAAATGAACAAGGTGAATACCTATAGACACAATTTTATTAACCTACAAAAAATTTGTTAATAATATATGAAAACCAAAAAGCAGGCAGTTATACTGAAATTCTGTCTGGAAACCAGTAAAATGATTCAAACTGAAGAGAAAACAATTTTTAAAATCTTAAATAAGAACTTTCATTGGTTTTCAATCAAATGGACAAAATATATATTTATGTGTGTATATGTTATTTTTTATACAACTGCATAATTTGTTTTTCAATTTTAAATAATTTTTCTTCATGCAACAATCTGCAAATATTAAAGTAAAAATTTTACAGCAATTTTACAAAAAATGTTAATGACTTTATACAGAGTGCTACCATAATATCTACACTTAGGTGTCAGTTCAAATCGATATAGCTAGTTAAAAAAAAAAACTTTAACCTTGAATAGATAGACATATTTTCTAAATAGATTTAAATATTTTTTATTGTTTATTAATGTTAAATGATAATTTTATATTTTTTTAACAGATAAAGCATTGTCAACTATTAATAACTTTTAACTTTCTATTATCTTAATTTTGATTACTTTTCATCACAACTACTCAGACCATCATTCTTTGGCTAAAAGCAAACAACATGGTTCAGAAACTCTTGGCAAGATTTGAACTTGCATACTTTTTACTTCAGGAAACCTGTCTATGATGGCTGCTCTACTACTTGAACTAAAAGTTCTGATCTCTTGTTGTTTACTTACATGGAAAAAGGTTAAGTGATATTGGTAAAGACAAGATAGTTTTTATGAATGTCAATTCTGAAACTGGATTTTCCTTTTAGTTTCTAATATTTATGTAATAAATATAGTTAAGCTATTGAAGGATATGAGTGGTCAGTTTTGGACTTTATAGAAATATCTTCTGTTAACTACAAGTTGTCCATTGTTTGTACTGTATCCAAAATGGTTTCTGTATAAAGAAATGGAGTTAGAAAATTAAAAAATTAAAGTATCTAAGGTTACAAAAAAGTATTTTCACATATTGATTTAGTTAATGCACAAATACATTTTAACACAAATTAGATTTTTTGTTTTATTTTGTGAAATGAGAAATATTTAATGAAATTTTCCTTCAGAAAGAAATACATTGATGACAATTTCTTAAATTGTGTCTTAAAATTTTCATATCTTTTTATTTCATAAAGTCTATATTTTGTTTGAATTTTTATTCTTTTTTTTTTTACATCACAGAAGCTGAATCTGAAATAATTCAAAAGTGACTAATAAACATTAATCCAGAAAGTTTTAATGTTTACACAGACTGGCCAAAAATAAAACAAAACTTGCAGCCAAAATAAAACAAATGTATTTTTTTTTGTACAATCAGGAAATATTGGTATCCCTGGTTGCCCACTGAAACAGTTATGAATTGGTTTGCTTCTTAATTTTTGTAAAAGTTTCCTCTTCAATTAAATTTTGACAAATATAATAATTCAAAAATTGCTTCTTAACATTCTGTATGTTAGAAAGATTAGTAAAACCATTTTAATGAGATAAAAAAAAACCAGCAATTTTTAAAGAAAAATTCATATTTCAAATTTTCTACAACATAACATTTAGAAGATGAAAAAGTTTTTAGATATAACAATGCAATAGTATATAAAAATACCCCCAAAAAGCTGCAATTATTTGAAATCCTCAAATGTTTTTGTGTTTTGGGGATTGAGTGTAAACCATTCCACAAGAATCAAAATAGTTTAATCATAAAAACAATCTATTAGTGTACATACTGGTCAAACAAATCAAGATTCTTCAGGATCACCACCCATCGTTTCTTCCTTTTCTTCTTTTTCTTGTTCATCTTTAGGACTGGAATCTTCTGGGTGTTTTGTTTCTTCTTCAGGATCTGTATTTTCCTCAACTGTTAAGTTTAAAAACAAAAGATAAAAAAAACAATTGATGGGAAGCTGAAGATATTTATAACCTTATCTATTGTTATAAAACCTTAAAAATTGATTTGGGCTAAAAAAAAAAAAATCTTACCATTTTTGCTATTAAATAAGGTCACTAGCTACAAGTAGACTGGGGGCTCTTTGGCCTTGGTTGGGCAACCAGTCAAGGAGAAGGACAATACTGAATTTAAAACTGGAGAACAGAATGGGAAACTACTCCAATATCTTTCCCAAGAATTCATGGTAACTCACATATAATGAAAGGGATTTGTGGAGAGTCACAATCACTTATATAATATGAAGGGATATATCATTTAAAAGAAAGATTCTTATTGGTAATTATATACAAAGAGTTAGAAGATTTTTAAAAAAGAAGAAATTCATCCTGAAGTTAATGCTTAACAGCAAATATATAATATGCAAAACTAAAAAAAAAATGTAAGCATGTCAAACAAAATATGTTGTGAGCATTTTATTGCATTTTTTTATATAGCTATAGTGTTAACAGGAGTAAATAGATGCTTAGTGAATTTGTTCTAGTGTTTATTTGTATCCAAGTTATGTTAGATGAATATCATAGATTTAATATTGTTATTATTGCATTAAATGGATGGGCACTTCAGTTTGAATGTTTTATGTTCTATGCAAATATTTGGTAATGAGCTTGGAATTTTTATGAAATGTGGAATTTTCATAGTTTTCTCCCTTGTTCCAAAACACATTTACTTGATTTATGAATAATTTTTGTAATCTCTCACATTTTTGTTTGATATTACAAAATTAATTTTATTGTAGTCTAAACATAAAATCAAAATATATTAATAATGGAATTACAAGATCAGATATATATTTATTTGTAAAGAGTCAAGCTATCTATTTTAAATTATAAAGTGTTCATTTTATTCATGTAATTTTCAGTATCATCTGTTATAAAATAATGTTTTTTAATCCAAGTATACTTCTTTAGCAATTCTTTGAGGTGACCTGATTGAAAATATTTTATTTAAATTAATATTGAAGTGAGAAATTATTCAAATTATCTGATATATTACAAGTTCTGAGACAATTCTTCTGGGTAACATTATTTAGTTTACTAGGTTTGTTTTATTGATGAATAGGCTCATATAAGATTATTTCTTTAATTTTGTTTTAACATTAGTATGGTTAACAATTCTGTTGTCAACAGTGCATTTCTCATTTTACTAAGAAATTGAAAAGGACAATGTAAGAGAATATGTGTTTAGTCTAAGTTTAACTTCTATATTTAAAATGATACATATTTCTCTGTCCAAAAATGTACTTGCAAAAGCTAAATCTTATAAAACTCTTTGAATATCATTAACTGGCAAATAGTAATACAATGTTTAGAAATCATTTTTTGTAGTTGCTCACTTTCGTCATGTTCTATTATTTCTGTTCAATCAACTTTTATGTTGTTTTTGTTTATGTCCTAACAACAATAATTATAATATTTATCTATTTGTTGATCTGTCTTTTGAGAGAAGAGTATTTCCTAGATTTATTGCTACTTTGACAAACTTCATACTCACTTGAGTCACAATGTTTTTAAAGCGTAACCATACTTGCTGCTGCTTATTTATGTTTATTTTTTTTTTTTTATCAATTCTGTGCAAGTGTTAGATGAATATTGAATGAAAAATTCACAAGAAGAGAATGCAAGAAAATTTGACATTTATTAAAAAAGAAAAGAAAGAGGTTTTGCTTTACACACCAAAAAGACAATACATATATATAGAGAAACAAAATTCTACTGTTAGATACAAGTCCTAAATACAAATACAACAGCCAAAGAAATTCATCTTAATTATAGCCATTTAATTTCTGGACAAACAATCAAATGATAAAAGTGGAAACAATAAATAAAAGCAAATTATAAAATCTTAGAAAAGATTTTATCGATGTATTTACTTTTAATGTCAACTGAAACTTATCTATTGGTATTAAGAATAATTACATTTTATACTCTGATGTGTGAAAAGTCATATGATATGTTCAGGCCTTGAATAAAGGAGGATGCTGGAATATGTGGGGTGGTGGTGGAAATCTTTTCAAAATATAGAAAATGGGGAGGAGGTAGGATTAGTTTAGAGTTCAGTTTATTTGATGAAGGAAAAATGGTGTATATAAATAGACAGCAAATTATTTAATAAAAATTGGAATAATTTTCTTCTGTATCAAAATGTTTGCCACAAAAATAAATATCAACCTTACAAAGTCTTTGTTTCTAATGTCCTTCATTTGTCATTCTTTTCTTCCGAGATCAAAAGTGCTTCGGAAAAATATCCTTGTTTTTGTGTACTAGGAAAATGTTTTATCTTTTAAATTATTTGAAAATAATGAAGAAAGATTGCACATTCCATGTTGCTGTAGAGGAGCTGGCAGATAGCTTTTGCCTCCCACTTTTTTTGTTGGAATTGTCTTCTTAGCTTCAATCTATGACAATGCTGTTGACCCGATCTTTGTCATTTGTCTAAAATCATTGAAATTAATCAGAAAACTTCATTTTCTGCTTTGTTTTTTGAAACATTATGGTTACAGAACTAAAATATATTATTTTGATTTGTTATGATTTGAATGTATCTTCAGAATTGAATGAACTATAATTTGAATGAAGATTTAGAATTTGTGTCAAATCAGTTTAATAATTCTAAATCATTATTTTCCTAGAATTTGATTTTTTTCCATGATGCTTCTTGGAAAATAAGCAAATAGGACTGTTGCAATAAGAGAATGGAGTAGAGTCAGAATCTTCTAAAAAATTAATAAGCTACACAGTATGATTATTACAATCTTGAGAGTAGGTGCCTAGTATCATGTAGGGTCCCCTCATTCTCAAAGTGCAGCAATTTAACATGGAATTAATTGCACAAGGGGATGAAAGACCTCTGGATAGATTTTGATCTATATTCTCTAGTTGATAGCTGTCCACAGCTGATGGCTGTCCACAACTGATAGCTGCTTGTAAATGCTGGATTTCTCTACTATGTCGCATAAACCATGTCACACGTTGTCAGTCTTCAATTAGCAATGTTACAATCCCAGGTGAGGTACTATGTGTGTCATGGTGTTAACAGGGGCACCCTGGTGGCTCTTTTGCTCACATATCCCATTGAAACTAAAGAATGCTGAATTGACCTGCTGGAAATGCATCTGTTACCTCCTACATTGAATGTGGATAATTTTGAGTCAGTGTCACTTATTTGTTACCACAGGTAATTCTAGCCAAGTACTTCTGGTCATGATCATTAAAGACCTGTGATTGGCCTCAGCACTCTCTAAGGTCTTCTATCAGGTATTCCCAATATACACATGATATCCATAGATCAAGGCATATCAACTGTCCCCCAAATTTAAAAAACAGAATGTCCCATCCACCTGGCATCCACTATCATGAACAGCCATTGACTCATTTGATATCAAACCCAACTGATATAGGTCAGAGTATTTTTATGACAAGGTACATGGGCACCACCTTCAATTAGCATTACATACTGTGCTTTCCCATGACTTTTCACATGTTACTATATAATATTTGTTGCATATATAGGATTCATATATAAGGCATAAAACTGAAATTCTAAACTAAAAGTAAAATTATTGTGTTGTGTACTAATGAAGACTTCACAAATCTAAGCTTATGGTACCATGACAATTTGCTAACACAAAAGGCTAGAAACATGACAATTTCTTCACTTTAGATTAATTGAAAGAAATTGTATGATACTGTATTTTTTCTTCATATTATTATAGGTATTTTAAATAATTATTACAAAATAATGGATGTTTAAAATTCATACTGTTTTATAAAATACTAAGCTCTACATTTACCATATGTCTCATACACTATTATATAAAAGATCTGAAAGCTTGCAAGTTATATATTTAAGCAGATGATTGTGCCTATTGTGGAGACAATTATTTAGTTTGAAAGAACAACAATAATGTTTCCAGGCTGATGTCAGTAAAAACGCTTGAATTTTTTTAACTGTGAGAAGATTCTTAAAGGATATTACATTGCTTTGACAAATTCACTTAGTAGTAGAGAGTAAAAAAAAAAAACCTGCTTGAATTATACTTGATTTATAAGAAATTGCTTCTGCAGTATCAATGAGCACTACAATTAAGAATCATGTGCCACCATGATTGCTTTTCAGTTTTTTCTACCATTCTGATAGAAGGTTAAAATACAGTAAAATATAAAGTTATGAAAATTTTTATTCAGCATTTAGTGAACAAATGTTTAAAAAATTCTAGACAATTCATGCAAATCCCTGAATGGATTAGATATTTTCTATTCTATTTTGAACATGTATATGAACTATTGTGAAAAGCATATAAACAAAAAAATTAGTTGTGACATATTAATGATAGAGTAAATATTTTTATTGTATGTTTTGTCAAATGTAAATGAAAGAAAATATAAAGGTACATAACATCCACTTAACAGGATTGAAAGTAAATATGAGAAATAGAAAAAGATTTTGAACTGCAACAAATATTTGGTTTTAATTCCTTCAGATAAATTATAGAAAAATTAATTATTTTTATTCCAGTAAATCTTTAGATTTTATTTTCTAGCTAATTTGTCTTCAAACTATTTTTTTATGACTTTTGTTATTTTCTAGTTAATGTATTTTCTAGTGTGTGGATAGGAATTTAATTGTTATGGTAGAAATGATGCTGATAGGTTATAAGTATAAATAATTGAAATGATTTGGAAAACACCAGTTTCAAAAATGTGATTACCTTCTGGGAGTTCTTGTACTTCATTGTCTTTCTTTTCATCTGTTTCTTCTTCTTCTGGAGGCTTCTCACTAACTTCTTGCTCAATTTCTTCTTCATCTATTGACAGTTCATCATCTTCATTTGAAATATTGATAAGTGTTACCTCACCAGCTTTCCATATAGGTATATACTGACGAACTACTTCTTCATCTTCATAGCCTGCATGTTGCTCTTCATCCTGTCACACAAAACACAATCAAATATATATTTTATTTTAAATAAAGGACTTTATTTGAGGATAAGTGAGGGGAAACAATAAATGTTGACTCAAAATATTCACTCAAATACATTTTATCAACAGTTATAATATTTTTTGTTCTTTTCATCAATTATTTTATTGGCTTCAAACTGTTTTTAAGTCATTCTTTAAAACTGTATTTGGATACTTGTTTGTTGTAATTATCTGTTTATTATTTCAAGTTATTTATTTGAAATATTTCTTTTCTTCAGTTCAGCTGATGTCCTTAATGAGATTATAAATTTAAGCATTGATTTAGTTATTCCATCTGAACATCTTAAAAATATGTTGGTGTAATTATATATTATTGAGCTTTTTATATCAATTTCTTCTCTTTTCATTAACATTCCTAATTTGTCTCTTAACACTGGGCTGTTTTTTCATTGAAGATTTATTAGCTGTAATCTTTTCTTGAGAATGTATAATAGAACAATTAATGCTATTTAAATGTTTGCTGTTATCTTTTTGTTTTTTGTTTCCATCTTGTTATCTGTTTTATTGTTTCATTGTATTCATTTTAAAAAGTGCAATAGAAGTTGGTCAGCCATATTGTTGAAAAGATGATGGGATTAAACATTTAAAACCAACTGAATTTTAGTTTTAAAAACAACCATTTAAATTTTGTTTTTTTAAATTATGGTCTGCTTGAAATCTTAGTTTAAACAATTCACATTTAAATTTGCTGTATTAGCATAATTTAATGATTGGTTATTAAAAAATTGTTAATAAAAAAGACTTAGGGGACATTAGAGTAATTTAATAATTGTTTATTAAAAAATTAATTTATGTAGATTGATTCATAGTTCTAATGTCTTTCATTGGACAATATTACTTTTAGGAGCAAGTGGATGATACATTTAATATTTTTATGCCACAATACTTTATGTAGAAGAGAAACTTGTGAAAACAATTGATTCTAATTTAAAATAGATATTTTCTCAAAAAAAAAGAAATTCACTAAGAAAACAATAGGCTTTACTATTTTCAGCTCCTCCTGATTATATGGTCATTTGGAATATGGCTACATTAAAAAATGTTTGCATCCTAGGCCATGTTTTAAAGCATTCATTAATGATTGACCTTAGTGAGTACCAATAATTAATAAAACCAGCATACTAACCAGTGAGTAAGTCAATTTTTAAGAAATCAGAACCACACTTAATTTAAAATTCTAATTAGAATAAAATGAAAAGAAAAAATATTACTGATGATCACAAACTACATTTATTGTTCCAATTGATTCTGTTCATTTTTTACCTTTTCAATATATTCATAATGACCATGTTGTTCACATCCAATGTCAAAAACATATTTTCCATCATTGTGTGGCTGTAAAAAAATAAATAGAAAATAACAACTAATGATTGAAATATAAAAGTAAATGAATGTTGATGGGAATGAAACAAAGAGAAGTTGATATACAGAACAAGGACTTATCATGTGTCAGATAAATACCCTGCACATAGAATAATTAATAACAATGGCTATTCCATTCTGAAATTGATCTTTTTTAAGTATGGATCAAGCACAACTATGTTTAATTTTAATTCTCAAGCCAAAGCTGGTTTTAGACTTACAAGCTACCCACACAAGCATTTTGTAAATCATTATGCTTATTACTAGGTCCATGCAACAAATACTTTAACGATTAATGATTAATCAATCCTCTTATCCACTTCTGGTCCTCAATGAGATAAGTCAACATTTCAAGACACTCTTTTCAAAACTTTGAAAAGCCACTTTTATGAAGAAAGACTGTATTTTTTATATTCAGTGCATATACATTTAGATACACATTTCATTATCTATGTTTATCTAACAAAGAAAGTTTTTTTAATGACAATAGGAATCATGTTGTGCATTGTTAATAATAACTTTGAATTTTGTCATCAATTGGGCTGCAAGCAACATTTGTATTTTCTTCCTATCAAAGGAAAGTTATTGGAATTTATTTGAATATTTGCAGTTTAAATAATCTCTGTATCACTGACAAAAACAATTTTAAAGAATTGCTTAATTTTTATTTTAGACATTTTCTTTTATGTAATACTCTTGTTTAAAAATTTTGATTGTGCTATGAAGACATTATGTAATAATTTTTCTTTGTATTGGTTCAAAAAGTTAAGCTTAAGTATTATCACTGCTCTAACATTTTAGCAACTCAGCCCTTAGCATCTCTCACCATATTTGTCATGCATTTCTATTGGTGGGAAACAGTAGAGCCATTAACATGGTTGTTAATTAACACATATTTTTTAGTTAATCAATTAATGATAAAATATGTAGTATATAATCAATCAGACAAATGTTACAAGTGGTATCTGATATTTTACTGTTTCAATATACTTTTTGTCATCACAAAGTTTATGTATTTCAACACAAATGCAATCGAAAGATGTATATATGGTATCCATCATTTTATAATATCAACTTCTGCCCAGTTTTTTTGCTTATTGAAAGTAGAGATTCAGAAATGTTTCCCTCATTTGAAATCAAATGATTCACTACATTAACTGTATTTTATGAAATAAAATTTCTTATACTTTTGTCTTAATTTAACACACTTTCTGTTATTCAATTCTTTTAACCATGTCAATATGAGAGAAAAAATTCAACATTAATTTCTATGAAAAAAAGAAATTTAGACTTTTGCAATAGCAAAAATAAGACATGATTTTCTTCCTTCGAAAGAGTAATAAACTTTAATCTTCATAATATACACCAATCTATTGTATTGTTTGCAAAGAGGTTAGTTTCACAAACTGGTAATTTGGTTACAGGGATTTCAAGTTAGTGGAACTTATAAAGATGTTATCAGGTTATAAAAAGGAAATTGTAAACTGCTAGAATGAACAAAATTAATAATCTACACCAAGCAGCCCTGTGCGTATGAAGTTTTTGGGTCCAACCCACTTCTGAAAATCTCAGCAAAGATCAGAATTTATTTTGAAATGCATTCATGTTTGGCCTTAAGTACTTTTCAAAACTCCCTCATAATGGCATTGAAGTTACTTTCTTTCCAAGCCTCGTATCATGTTTGAGATATAAACTACTCCATCATTTATAGATTTGATATGTTTTCCTTCATAGTACAGAATTGATTAAACAAAATACCATTTAACAATGTCAATGTGGACTAATGTCAGATACTTTATAAAATCCAACATAAAATTTGTCTGGTTCTATTTTTTTCTTAAGTTGTTGGCAGATAATTATGAGTCAAAATTTTAATTGTCTTTTTGAAGATAATAGACAAGAAAGTAATATCGTTAACCTAAAGATAAAGAAATTTTGCTTAGTCACATCTTGTGCCCATTGCAGGTTTTTCATCTTTTAGAAGCAATGCCCATTGTAAAATCATTCTAATATAGAAACTGTTTCAAAATACTGATTACTTAAAGTACACTACACTCACAATTTGTTGCTAAAGCTTTCCTTTGTACTCATCATAAACTATCAATGGAAACTTCTTGGTTATTTGACATTTCCTTCCCTTCCTTTTAGGCTTTCACACTTTGCCTGTTGCTTCTTTGTGAATGTGTATTGATGTGTGTGGTAATGTTCAGTATGATGTGTGTGTGTGTGTGTTTATTTTTTTTAGCTTGCAATGAGTCTCTTTTTTAATAATTTTGTTTATAATTACATTATTGGTAAAGTGGTAGTAATGACTTTTAGATACCTAGACAGATTTTCTCTGCTTTTTGGGTGGCATTCATTGCTTTCCTCTTTACATTTATTTTGTGATTGCAATAGTTTTCTAATTGGATAACAAAGTTTTAAAAATATATATTGTTTTTCTATTTTGCACATTCTTTTCAGTTTATAAGATGAGGAAAAGTGTAAAAACTAAATCAGTGATACTTTTGCTTGCTGTAGTTTGTTGATAATTTTCTGATAATGTTAAGGGTTATTGCTGAAAGATTCTATCAAACTTTAAATAAGAATGGTGAAGCTGAGGCTGTTGCTTTGGATATCTCAAAGGCATTTGAAAGACTTTGGCATACTGGTTTTCTTCACATGTTCAAAGGTTATGGTATTTCTGGACAAACTTTTGAACTGATTCAGTCTTTTTATCAAATCATGAAATGAAAGTTGTCTTAAATGGCCACTCTTCTAGATCTTTTTGTATTAATGAAGTGACCCAAGGCTCTATCCTTGGACCTATCTTATTCCTAATTTTCATCAATGATCACCCTGATGTCATCAGTTCTTGCCTCAGTATTTATGCTGATGACAACTATTTACTCCTGTTTTAACAGTATGTCTAATTGGTTTGATAAGGTCAAATTGGTAACTGATTTAAAAAATGAACTACAATCTTTTGTTAACTGGGGTAAGGAAAAGCTTGTTAATTTTAATGCCTCCAAATGAAAATCATCTTTTAATCATCTGTGAGAACATTTTTGACCTTCCATTAGCATGGCTGATGTTAACCTCCAGGTGAGTGACTCATTGCACCTTCTCATACTAACATTTTATGCTGACATGAAGTGAAAAGATTATATTGCATCAATTGCTTAATCTGTTGTTCAGAAAGTTAGATCACTGTATCATGTTAAGCAATTTTTCTCACCAGAATCTATCTAACATATTTATAAGTTTAACATTTGTCCATGCTTTCAATATTGCTGCCACATCTAGTCTGGTGCTTTTCCAATGTATTTAGAGATTTTTGATAAAATATAAATAAGAATCTGCAATTTTATTGGTCCTGATCTTGTATCTCAGCTTCAAACACTTTCCCACTGCTGTAACATAGCTTCCTCATGCCTTTTCTATAAATACTTTCATTGTAATTGTTCTGGTCAACCTTTCCTCTGTGGTACCTATACTTTATGAATTTAAGTGCAGTACTAGATTGGCAGTAAAGTCTCATCATTTTTGAGTTGAAATACCTAGATATAACTGTAAGTTTTATACTAACAGTTTCTTCTCTTACACTTCTTGCTTGTGATCTCTCTTCCGGCTTCTTGCTTCCCAGTCAACATTGATTTTCAAAAATTTAAATGCAATGTCAGCCATTATCTTTTGTCTTCTTAATTCCTGTTCTTTTATTGTTCTCTCTCCTTAATAGTATATTTTTTCCCATATTCTCTCACACTCAGTAAAAAAAATGTGATCAGATGGTCAATTCTTTCTTATAATAATCAATTTGCCTCTCTACTGAGGGCATATTTTGTACTACCTAACCAAGAAATTGAACACATGACTTATAAAGAAACAAGGTAAGCTTCAGTGCATTTTATCCTCTTTGTGATATCCTAAATAACACTCTTTGTTATTTTTTGATTACTTGTGATAAAAATAATAAAGAACAAGAAAATGGCCTGAATTAATGTATAATAAAAACATCAGCGAATGGAAAAACCTGAACTCTACATTCCTTATCCAAATAATCCTTGGATAGGCTAGAAAAAAACTTGAAGGTAGTTCTTTCTTTTCATATGCATCAATTCTCAGCAGAGAATGGAACTAATCAAACATTTTCTTTTTCTTTATAAGATTTTATTGTTATATCCATGTACACTCAACAACCCTAGGATATTCCTTATAGATGCCTGAAATTAATAACAAATAATATTGGATCCTTGAATAATCCCAAGAAACATCTCAAATTATTATAATTCCTTATTAAAAAATATACATTGTTTTACATTTGTCATCCTTTATAAGAAATTATGAACAACTGTAAATAGATCACTTCTAATTTTAGTTCCTATCATTTATAGACCTATTGGCATATTTTGTTGATTGAATAACTTGATCCTTTGCATGGAATAACCATTTCTTTTAAAATACTTAATAACTGACCATTCAAGAATACAAGAGGTTTCAATTAAATGTTGAACAATCATTTTTATTAATTATTTCATATATCTGCAGAATTAAATTGAAGTCAGAATCAATTATTTTTAATTAAATTTGTCTCCTCTACTTCTGAAGCAATGAAACTATTTCTTCAAAACAGACTTTCTGTGTAAACTTTATCATCATTAACAGTCCTTTATTCATGAAATATATGCAATATATGAAATATATTCATGAAATATATGCAACATGATGTATTTATCTTTCGAGTTTTTGTTTAAAAATATTCTTAAACAAATTTTTTCTATTAAGATGAAATTTGTTTTATTTGTTATACTTATTCAGATTTCTATTCTGCTTTTCACATATTTTAAGACAAAATGTGTGTCTGAACCAAAATATAAAATATGAAATTAAAAACATAAAACAATGAAATAGTATTTTGTTATTACATTTTTAAAGAAGATCTAGTTCTGATTAAATAAACTTGTTTTTCATAGTCTGTTTGGTAGGTTATTAATAACTATTGATTTCCCAATTTCATGAGTCAAGTGAAAATTTAGAAAGCCTATATAAGTTAAATGATTCATTGTTTCTTGAACCATGCCAATGGTTAATGACAAAAGAGAAAAAAAGTCAACCTAAGTTGAGTCAAGGAAAATTCTAACAAAAATGTGAAAGAAGAAAATAAGTTTACACTATGAAAATATTATTGAGAAATTGATTAGTTTCTGAATATTTATAAGTTTATATGGTATGCCTTTACATTTAGAATAGGAAACTCATCTTGGTTGTTCTATTCATGTTTCAATTAGGTGTTCTTCAGGTGTTTTTTTTGTACTCTGTAACCTTCTTATAATTTTGAACTGAACCCTTTACTCAGTCTACTGGATTAGATTGTTCTTATTTTACTTTCTATGCTTAATGAATATCTTGTATCAGTTAACACTTTTCTGGCTATTTTGCTTTTGTGTCACTTGTTTCTTCCACTGAACTAAAGTATATTACTTTTTCTGCTCTACTCAACACAGGAATTGAACTCACAACTGCAGGGAACTAGATATGTTTTAAGCAATACTTTAATCCACTGACAATGACAATGTCAGTTTCATAACCAAGATGAGGATATTAGTTTGAGTGTAGAGGCATAATAATGATGATCTCTCACCTGAAAAATTCCAACAAAAATTATCTATGAGTTCCATGCAGTAAAACTGCAATTGATAAGGAACTAGGTCTGCACAAGTTTCCACCACTTTCTTCATTGAAAACAGAAAAAACTATTTTTTAAATAACAAAAATAAAAAAAAATATTGGAAATATTTGCACACATTAGGTTTGTGTAAATGTTTTCCATCATTTTTACAGACACCTACTCAAAGATCACCTTGCACTATTAATGTTAGATAGAATCAAATATAAGCAAGTAGATCAACTGGTTGGTATCACAAATCAATACAACAAGTTGACTGAACTTTCAAGTTGTTAGAAAAGCAAGCAATCTTGATTGATCAATTGATTGATTGATTGATATATGATAAGATCAATGAATGCAGGGACATGCAGGAAATGCTGTATATCATTAAAAGTAAATTTCTTTTTCTGCCTATGATGATTTTGTATGATCTTAGTATGAAAGTGAAAGTAATTGAATACTTACAAAATTATTTTTGAACATTCCAACATATTTATGATTGGAATGAATCAATTCTCCATGGCCATACATTCTGCCATTGTCCCAATTCCCAACATATTTTGACTTGGTATCTGCATAAGTATAAATACCTTGACCATGCCGTACATGGTTCTCCCACTCGCCTGTGTAAGTATCACCATTCACATAATAATATGTCCCTGTGCCACATCTCAGGTTATCTACCCACTGACCTGCAATATAGAATTCAGTTCAAAACTGTAATCAGGTTATTAATTGATTTATTTTTTACCCAACATTTTTATTACTTCAAATATTATTATTAGTGGACACACATATTTGAAATAGATGCCCTGTAGCAGGGTTGATGGAGGGTTGTGAATGTAAGTTACCCCATGTTACATGTATTAGTAGTTGATAGAGGATTCCTTTTCTCCTTTTTTTATACTGAAAATGAAATGATTGAAATGTACAACAATAACATACAACAATAAGACTTGTGAAATTAATGACAAGAATGTGTATTTTTCTTTTTGTGATGTTATTTACAATAATTGGTTTTATGTTTGTTAAATGTTTTCAGGGTTATTGTCTGTTTTTGTTTCTTTAAAATTTCGGCTTACTTGTTTATAATTGTTCCAAGAATTTTGTGGTTAAGGGAAACTCTGGATTTTCATGGAGCGAAGAAAATACGTCTTGTCTGTGTTGTTCTCTTTACTACTGCTACTTTTGCTTGTGGTGGAAGGGTTGTTTTTATAATGATGAAGTTTCAGATCTTTATTCCAAGAAGGATGAAATATCATCATCATCATGAATCATAACAGCCCTGTTTTTTATTGTAAACAATAAATTTTAAACTGTTTCTAATAATAACACTATTTAAAAATGAAAAAGTACGGGGCATCTATTTCAAATATGGGTATCCACTAAAGTAAAGTTTGAAGTGATAAAAAATCAGCTTATATGTACATTGCCATCGAAGGTGAAGGTACTGCATTATAAGATGGCAATGAATTTGGATACACTAAAATATCCAATTATATATCAGCAACTAATATTCTTTCTCTCTCTCTCCCTCTCCCCCTCTCTCTCTCTATATATATATATATATATCAGTATAATATGATCAGTTTAAGAAATTCTGTGCTGATTTAGGAATAATAAATCAATACTAAAATTTCTTTGACAAATTTTTTCTAAGAGATGCTTGCAGACTATTATGATCAATTTTCTCATGTTATTAGTTTAAAAGAACTCATTTGAAACGAATGAAAATTACTGACATTTTTTTAGAATGACAGTGACATTTAAGATAGACATTAATTTAGTTAATAAATTTGAAAGGAGTAAAAGAACATGGTAAATAATAAAAAAGGAACAATTTCCTATTGAACTAAATGTTTCAATTACCTTTGTTACAACAGTAGAAACTTATATCAGTCAAGAATATCAATTTATTTTACGTGACCACATTTTTAAGGATTCTGTTGTTGATTGATTGACTGTAATATATTTGAAGAAAATATTTTTTTAAAGAACTGTTTTGAAAATAATTTCTCTTTTTTAAGATTCTAAAATCTAAACTAAAACTAACTATTATAAAAACAAATTTAGGAAGAAATAAACAAACAAATGATATTTGAAATCAAAATTGCAATAAATAACTTAAAAGATAGAAGAAGGGATAGAAATTACTTAAATATGTTTTTGATAAATTAGTTATCAAAACATGGAGTCATAGGTAAGTTCCAATTTTTGGGAACCAATTGTAATGATGAATGTATCATCCTGATGACTAATCCTATCTTAGTTTTTGCATGGCATTGGCAGCGTACACAGTGTATTAAAGGAAAGATGTTGTTCTCCTCAATGACAACACAATGTAGCATACAGCAAGAACAACATAGAAAAGATTTTGGAACTCACTTGGTCTGTTCTACCCTATCCACCATATTCAACTGGCCTTGTACCAACTATTCTTTAGACCACTACAAAACATTTTGATGGGGAAAATTTTCTCCTATGAAAACCAGATACAAAAGTTCATTGAAAACTTTTTCACATTAAAACCTCATGGAATTTTATTTTAACATATCAAATATAAGTGGCAAAAGCTCATTGCAAATAATGGTGAATGTATAATTGAATAAATTGTATTTTTTAAAGAATAAAGACGGAAATTATTTATGATTCAACTTTATAAATGCTGAATTATTCTTCCTTTAATAAAGCTTTATCTATAAAGAAAATTAGGAAGCACAGCATGGTATAAACTCCAGAAAAAAAGCATTCATAAACATGAATAGTATGTTTTTTCTAGAGTTTAAATTTAGAATTTATCTGACAAAATTAAGCATATTTCATGTATATGAATTTATTTTTTCAAGGTCCTTTTAATTATCCTCCATTTTACTAAATCTTCATTTTAAGCAGTTTTTAATTGTACTGTTCAAACATTTCTCATGGGTTTTTGTTTATGAGTTTGACTTTATTCTTGTTGATATAGACTTTTTGAGTAAACTGTTTTTGTTCTATTTAAAATTTGAATATCTTAATTATGAGTTTTAATCAGTATCATGATTTTGTAAAATAATTTAAAAAACACTATATGAGCCAATGTATGAAAGATTTGAATGGTTTTAGTTTTTTATAATTAAAATTAAACCTAGCACTGGTAATTAATATATTTTTATTTAATTATGCCATTGACATTTTTTATTGTAGTGGTGAGAAAAATCCAAAAGTATGTCAAGATTTTGGTGAACAAAATGAAGGATTGGAAATTAGAAAACACAGACAGACTGTATTCTTTTAGCTCACTTCTTGACTCTTCAGCTTGACTGCAGAGCAGACATTAGTTTATAGGATTTATTTAAAAATCTTATTTACTTCATTTGTTATCAATATTTTAGCATATATTCCTTAGGGTTAGATTTATATATTACCTCACCCAGGCCTCCATTTTATTGATAAGAATTTCTCTTATTTAAAATCATTTTTATCAATATACACTATACACATTAAGTAAAACATACAGATAGAAAAAATCTATTAAATGTCATATTTACTATTAAAAATCAATCAGTTCAATAAACTTTCCTTCTTGTTTTAATTTTTGTTACAATTGCATAAGCAATAATCATTATGAATTTGAATTTTTACTGCCATGCATTCAGTAAATTGAAACTTAATCACAAAAAACAACATATGAATACATGTTTTTGAATTTCTCTAAACTAACAGATGAGAGTCTTAGATGTCTATTACAGGAATTAGGTTGGTGATTGCTAGAGAATGGTTATGAAAGTAAATTCTATATAACCTCTATAATAAAGTAAAAGAAGAAATATTCAAAGCATTTAAATCCATTCTTTTCATAATCTGAAAAATTTGATAATCTTGTTCTTATTTGAGAGTAAGGAAATATTGAACAAAGTGAAATGTTCAAATTAAGAGACTTGTTGTGGATTACTGGTTGACTCTCCTGGATGCTTATCCTCTTGTTTGGATAAAGGACATGGTAAATGAGATTACCAGTTATCAAATATCTCGCACACTTGATTTAACCAGTGCCCATCACCAGGTTGCTATCAAGCCTGAAGAATGAAAATACACTGTCTTCGAAGCTAGTGGATTTCTGTATTTTGTCAAATCACTTTTGGAGTGACCATTGGAGTAGCAAGTTTCCAATGTTATAGATGACATCATTAAGCAAGAAGACCTCCAAGGAACTTCTGCCTATATTGACAATGTTACTATTTGTGGTCACAATCAGCCTGAGCATGACTCTAATCTGAAGGCATTCATGAATAGTGTGGCAAAGCACAGTCTGACACTGAACAAAAGCAAGTGTTGCTATTTGCATACTTCAGTGGACTTGCTTGGGTATATGATAAGCAAGGGTTGAGTAAAATCTGACTCAAATAGACTCAAAGGATTGATGGACATGCCAGTACCTAAAGACTTTTCATCACTGTGGTGAGCAATGGGGATATCCTCTCACAACTCTAGGTAGGTCTCTTTTCTGAAAAATTACATCCTCTAACTAGAGTTACCCATTTTCCTCTCACTAAGGAACAAACTAATGCCTTTAAGTATCTGAAGAAAGAGATTGCTAAATCATCCCTGGTGTATCCATAGATTCTTCTCTCCCTCTTGAGATTGAGACTGGTGCTTCAGAACATGCTATCACTGCCTCTCTAACCCAGAACTTTTGGCTCATAGCTTTCTTTACAAGAACTTTAACCTCTGCCAGTGATTGAAAAGGAGGCCTATGTAATCATTCGAAAATGGTGACACTTATTACTTGGGAAGCATTTTAAGCTGGTCACAGATCAAAAATCTGTCTCCTTCATGTTCAATCCTAAAAGTAAGAGCAAGATAAAAAAATGAGAAGATCACAAGATGGAAACTAAAACTTGCCTGTTTCAGTTATGACACAGAGTATCGCTCAGGAAAACAAATTACTGCTGTGGACACCCTATCTCAAATTTGCTCTTCTACCACCTATGTAGACAAACTATATATCTTGCACAAAGATTTATGTCACCTAGGATTAACCTGAATGGTACATTTTGTCAGAAGTAAGAATATGCCATATTCTGTAGATGTAAGAGCGGTAATCAAGTCTGTTCTGAGATAAAGCTTAGATTTGTTAAAAAGGCACCCCAAACACTCATAAAAGTGAGTCAACCATTTGAAAAATTAAGTGTAGACTTCAAAGGACCATTACCTTCAAATTCTCGCAACAGCTTCATGTTAACAGTAGTTGATAAATACTTCCCCTTTCCTTTCTCATGTGCCAATGTCTCAGCTGTAACTGTCAAGAAACATTTAGCTAATTTATTTTCTATTTTTGGAAATCCTTTTTTGGTACACTCTGATTGTGGTATAGCTTTCATGTCAGATGAATTAAAAGAATTTCTGCACTCTCAAAACATTGCTACCAGTTGAATGACCGCTTTTAATCCTCAAGGCAATGGACAATCAGGGAGATACAGTGGTATCATCTGGCAAATGGTGAATCTGGCGCTATGAGTAATCTCCCTATTGTTAAATGGGAAAAGGTTCTAGATGTAGCTCTCCACTGCATTCACTCATTGCTTTCCATTTCCACTAACTGTACTCCCCATAAATGTTTATTTAATTATCAAAGGAAATCAGCTTCTGGTGATTCCATGGTTAACAAAATCTAAATTTGCTCTCCTGAAGTGTCATGTATGTAGAAGCAAATATGAGCCTCTAGTCAAGACAGTTGACATATTCAAAGTCAATCCGAATCATGCTCATGTGTGATTCAATAATGGATGACAGACAACAGTGTCCTTGCATGATATAACTCCATTGGGTGATAGGATGAATAATATATCTACTGAACCTCATTCTATGCCAGGGGGCCAACAAGAACTGGATGTTCCTCTCCAGTTTAACACTACTCTTTCTCTACAGAGTCCTCCTCTACAGAGTGCTTTTGAAAATGCTGCTGCTGAGAATTCAGCCCCTACATCTCCTTAGTCTCCACTCTTAGATGATTGCAAGAGGATCCCTTCAGAAGATGCTGATGTATTGAATCTTCAATGATCCTCTAGAATTTGTTGAAAATTTTTGTATTTAGCTGAAAATTATCAGCTTTGAACATTTATTTTTCTCTATTTTTCAATTTCAACAGAGATATCAACAGGACGTACTAAATCGGAAATGCTTTGAACTTTCCTAGGTAACAGAGAATGTGGTGATAAAAAGGAACACTTGAAGCAAGCTTTATCTCCCTTTACTTTTTGGGAATGAATTACAGTCCTTTGTTTTATTTTTCCAGTGTTATATTCAGCCATTTTACGCTGAAACTCGATCCCTGTGTAGATTTTAATTTCTTCAAGCTAAACAAATTGACTTCTTCTATTGCAACAAAATTCATAATTATGGTACTTTTGAAAAGAATCCAATATATTCCTAGATACACAAGTTAAAGTAATTTAAAAAAAAACTGCATATTAAATATCATACTAAACATTTGGTGGAGGATTTCTATGTTTTTAATTAACTTTTTTTCCCCAATTTTAAAAATTCTTTCATTTAAATGAATTATCAGAATTTATTCAATCTAGACAAATACTAAATATTTTTATTTGCTTTACTTGTTGCCTGCTTTTGTCTGTTGTTCTTTGATGGCTATATAAACTTACCTTCATATTTTGATCCATCTGGATAGATGAAAGTGCCATCACCATGTTTTTTGTTATAAGCATACTCTCCAATATACCGTGCCTCATTCTTAAATCTGTAATAAACAATAAGAGAAAGTTGCATCTAGTTTCCCTGTCAGTAAAAGCCTATTTACAATATAATCAATAAGAGTCTTTATTCCCACCTTTCAAGAGAGAAATTATTAGTTTTATGAAAATATTTGAATTTTGTATTTCTTCATAACTTGTCTTTTCTTCTTTTTTTTTTTACATTGAATTGTTGGTTTTGTCTTGTTTCATGGGGAAAGTGTTACATAATCATCACATGTAGAACAAATAAATCTAAATACATCTTGTGCCTTAAGCAATTTAAAAAAAAACCCACAAAAGACAACAATTCTCATGTCAGGAAATATATCAATGGGATGAGTTGAGAAAAAAAAAATGAATGGAAAATAAGTTGAGAAAATGCAAAGAAAAGAGTGCAGAAAATACACATACATAAGTATGTATTTCTGTGTGTACATACAAACAATGCATCTGTATATATCATACACATAATCTATACATATACATACACATATATGTACATAAATGAATGCAGATGTAAGAATATAAGCAAATATATAAATATGTGCATATATTTAAACATAGATGTTTGTCTTCATTGAATATATGACTGTAAACACACATGTATATGCACACACATATGTATATACTTGTAAATGTAATTAATGTCAATCCCAGTTCTTTAAACATATTGAAGTGATTGTGCTAAAAAGAAATAAGCAAAAAGAAGTGTCTTTCTAAACCTTCAAAATACCTTCCATTTACTATATTTAAAGAGAACAGATATTTTATATGAATAAGATTTGTAAGGATATGTCTTAAAGGACTTACATTTAATCACTTCAATGTTCTCTTGTGCAATAAATTTTTAAAGTTAGTTTTATGCTGCATATTTTGCAAACATTTTAGGATCAATTTTTACAACCAGAATTTTTGTGACCACATTATTTTTTATCATGCAATCAAGACATCATCTGCAATAGTCTGTTAGAACAAATTATTCTTTACTATAGATTATTTTTGCTGTTATCAGTAATACAAATCACATAGTTATAAATAAGTCTGATTTAGATATACTTGTGAATACAGAGATAATAGAAGAAGAAAAACAAATTGTTTGTAATAAAGCAGTTATTGTAGTTTAAAATTACATGAAATTAAAATAGGTTAACTTTATCATTGTAATGTTACTTTTGTTTTTTCACTAAGATACATGACTTTTTACTGCCTGACCATCAGTTAACTTGAGATATTTAATCAATGATTTTGTCAACCAGGCAAAAACAATCAAACAATCACATAACAGAAGTTAGAAACCTTAAACCTAATCAGCCAAGGTAAAAATACTGGATTGAATCAATTAACTTATAATTTCTCATCACAGAAATTCAGACAGAAATGATAAGATGTAAAATTTGTTTTGATGAATTCACAAAAGCTTGGAAAATCTTTGAAAATAGAGATTGAGAAAAGGCTAAATGCTACAATTTATACAACCATGTTTTCAGTGAAATAAATGTATATTTTAGTATATGTACTAATATCACTAATATCTTAATGAATATTAACCATTTATAACTTTATAATTTTGATTGTCTCTTATATGAAATATTATAGGGAAAAACTGCCAGTAACTTCATTCTGTTGTATCATATATATTAAGGTGTTAATGAATAATTCCAAGCAAGAGATAAGCACATTTGTAAAACACTTTTCAGACATACATACTGTGGTATGAACCATCTCCCCATTAATGGATCTGCCCTGAACACACATATTCAGGAGAACTCTGCTGATATGCAGAGTATATTAAAGCTTACTGATAAGCAATATGTATAGAACAATTCTACTACAATTTAATATACTCTGTTGCAGAATGCCCATGCTGTGATTTAGACAGGGTTCTGGTGAAAAAGGCTATGGGCCTCCCTGAGTGTCTTAACAGGTGGCTATGGTACCTTCTGAGGCATCTGTTTCTACTACCAAAGGTCACGTATGATTGGGCATAGTAATGGCTGCTTTCGCTGTGCTCCTCTTTAACTTGTTAAACACTTTCTCTGCTAAGGGAGATAACAGGAAGTTTGATACTGTTGTTAGACAGTGGATTTTGTCTGAAAAAGACAAAATCCAATGTGAATAGTGTGCAAACATTCCTAATGCACAGCAAAGAGCGGGCAAATCTTTTGGTACTAATAGGCTGAATAATGGATTCAGATGTTCTGGATCAGGTTTTATGTTGTTTTACTTAATATGTGCCCAAGTAATTTTATATTTTTACATCTAAAATAACATTTGTTTTGGTTAAGCATAAGCTTGTACTTTTTAACAGCTGCCATGAATAATTTAAGATTTTTATGTTCCATTTGATTTTTCCCTACAAATAGTTACATTATTGATGTAACATAAATGCCTTGCAAATTCTCTTTTGATATTATCTGGCCTATCACTCTTTGAAAACTAGCTACCCCGTTAGTCACACTAAATGGTATTTTGAAAAATTGATTTAGTAGTTACCAATTTACAATCCAGTGTTAAATTGTTGAGGAATTTTCATCTGTTGTTTAATACCTTTTTAAAAATCAAAATGTCTATAAAATGAAAACTGCTACATTTCAAATACAGGAGAGTGAATTTAAATTATATTTTTTTAAAATCCAAGTATAAGTTTGAAATACATAATTCAAGGGAGTTGATTGAACCTCTCCAATTAAAATAATAGCAATGAACTGCTTCACTAAAATTATCTTCAAAATGATCCTTTATTCTGCCAAAGATTATGTCAATATTGACATTACTTACCATAAAATTCACCAATGTGTGAGAATATTCCTTTCCAGAAAATAAAATTTTACTTTAAGATAAAAATACTATTTTTTCTTTAATCCCTTCCCTGCCAATTATTTTGGGAAAAATGTTTAATTTTCAGACAATTTTTTTTTTTTTATAGTAACTAAGAAACTGAGGCACCTTTGAAGTACCAGAGTGGTGGCTAACACCTTTACCAGACATATGAGTTGACAACTGAACTTGTTTCAAGCTCAGAAGGGCATAAAAAGACTCAGGATCAATGTATAAAAACGTCTGTAGCTGGTTTTTGAGCATTATGTTTTGGACGTGTTTATTCGTTCATGTCTGAAAAAGACATCTTTGGTATAAATATATAGACATGTCTATGCCAGGGAAGAAGTTAATAAGCATAAAATAATTTTATAATTTTGATTTTGTGAAACATTGGAAATTCAATTTTAATTTCAAAATGAATGTCAAATGAATCTGCACCTATAGGTTCCCTGGCCATGGCGTCTTCCATTTTCATACATTCCATTATAAGTGTCCTGATTTGGTAGAATTGCTTTACCCATTCCATGTCGCTCTTCATTTTCATTTCGCTCACCTTCATATTCCTGAAAGAAAAAAAAAATTGAGGATGAAGCTTACATGGAGAGAAATTGGTAGAATATTTGTATTTAATTAAATATTTTTAAGTAAAATTTCATTTTCAAAATAAAAAAAATTTATTCATATCAATGTTATAACAAACATATGGTTGCAAAAGAAAGAACAAACAAGGATTAAAATTTCAACAGCATGTATTGACAATTTTCAGAATATATACACAATTGTGTAAAAAGGTGACAAAATTGTTAATAGGTGGTTCCTTAGTTGCCTTTGATAATGGAAGTGATTAGGTGTAAGGGTGTTGCTGGTAAGGCTGAGTGCGAGTAGTTGTCAGTTGTTGAGGTTACAATGGTGACTATGAGAAAGGCCTGGATTGGGTAAGTGAAGCCATCAACTAGAATGTATCTGTTGCCCTCTTGATGTTTGGAAGAGGGTAGGTCTTAAATGGATATGTGTTGGATTCTGGTTGAATAGGAGATCAAACAAAAACAGGGTTGCGGTGGTGACAATGAGAGAAGCCTGGAGTGGATAGTGAAACTTGATCGAGTGGAATGTTGGATTCTGGTCAAATGGGAGATCAAACAAAAATGGTGGCATAGTGGTAACGACAAGAGAGGCCTGGAGTGTGATAGTGAAATCACTGAAGTGTTAAAAATCAAGATGGTGATGTTGAGAGCCTGCTAGTGTTGACAGCTGGCCTCTCAGTTGCATTCTGTGTGTGAATACTCGGGTGAAGTCAGAAATCTGGTTGCCATTACATTGGATTGATTGAGGTTATAGTGATGACAACAAAATGGTCGGTTATGGTGGGGATGTTGAGAGGTGGTCATAGAGGTAACAACAGTGAACACACCAATGTCAACAACTGACCTGTTGGCCTGGTACTTCATTGGTGTCATGATACTTATATTCTTTTTATATCTATTTCCTATCACTAAGGTCAATGCCAAGGCCAATTCTATGATCAATTCTAAGGTCAATTCTAATGAGAACTTTATCTTGTAATAGAGTTTGACAGCAAACAAAAGTTTTAGTCATTGATTGAATTTTAAGAAAAGACAAAAGGAGTTGAGTTAAGGCAATCAAAATCCTTTTTTTATTTTTTGTACAGGGACATTTTCATACTTATTTTTATACATTTTTATATTAATTATTTCTCAACTAAAACTACTAAATACAATTGATTAATAAAAGAGTATTATTATAACACAAAAATATTTAAATAAGGAATTACTTATATTAAAAAACAAATATTATAATGAACATGTGTACATAAATATAAACATCAGAAACAAATAATTTTGTTTTTAAAATACAATTCTAAAATTGGAGTATGGTAAGACAATGATGTGCCTGAATTTTCTATATTTATATAATTCTAATCAAGTAAATTGGTATTTTCTTTACAACCTTAAACACATGACTGGAAAAATATCAAATGTTATTGATTAGAGAAGAATGCACTGAAAAAGAACAATAGCCTTAAAATATTGCAGAGAAGTCAAATCACTGAAAAATAGCATTAACAACAAAGAATGTAATTAGCTGCTCTGTAACTGTTACATCATAAACTTTCAACTAACAAAAACCTAAGTCACCTAATCTAAAAGTGGAATGTAATTTTTGAATTTGTTTTTGGCAACTTCATAGCAGGGTTTTTATTCAGATTTTTTTGTTTCTGTAATCATCAATTTCTATGAAGCTAATAAAAAGCAGTTTTTTATTTTTTTAATGAAGTTAAAAATACAAATAAAATTTAGGAAATGTATCATGTACTTTAATATCCTTCTATAAGCAAACTTTAAAATCAACAATTCATTTATGAAATAACAGAAAGCGATAAATTTGCTTTATGAAACATAACTGAAGGCTTGATTTGAATGATTTGAATGATAATACTCACCTTAATTTAGGTATGAAAATGGAAATTGGCTATGCAGCAATCTTAGAAAACATAATGGACTGAATTTTAAAATATACTGACTTCATAAAACTTTAGCTTAGAAAGACTGTAGAAGCAAATGCAAGCAAATATATTCAATGTACAAGAAAATATGAAAATAGAGAAGGCTTTATTTAAAACATATTAATTTGAATTTTAATTAAGATCAAGTTTAATTTTAAACAACTTGGACAAAAATGTTTTACATTACTGTAATTTAAATTTAGATGAGAATCTGACAATATATAAACAATTTGGAAAACATTTATTTTGACTTGTCAAATCTTTTCAAATTATCTTATATATTTAAATATATTACATTACAGTGGATAAAAAAATACAAAGTATAAATTTTCATGTTTTTACAAATTAAATCTGAAGAATTTATTTAAACATTCTACTACTAAAATGTTGAAATGTGAAATACCAATCAGGAAGTGAAAGCAGCAAATGTGTTTATTAACACTTGCTAATGTTTTTAGTTTGTGAAGATTATCCCCAACTTTGTCTGCTAGGATGTGCACTGCGTGTTGTTCTATGCAAAGCTATAAATGTAAGTACATATACCCTCACTTACTCTTTCTGCTTTAAGTTTTTTCCTCCAGCAAACTGACTACTTAATTTCAAATAAACCACATGTACATCACATACTTACCCACTACAGCATATCATTGTTTTTTCTTCTTTTTTGTGCTATCTGTACCCATGTAAATAACTTTTTTCTTCTTTTGTGAGCTATTTTGTTCTCTATATAAATATGTATAAAAATGTAGAAATGTTTAATTTCTTTTGAAAACATTGCATTCATTTTGCTTGAAAGTTCACAACTGCATCTGCATTATGTATAAGACACAGCCCATACAATTCTCAACATCATCTGCTACACTATCTACAACTGCATTTCACCACAAGTTCAAACTTAGGACAATGATCAACAGAATAAGAATTCAAAACAACATTTTTTCATCAATAAGCAAATCCCTTTAATATAGTAATTTGTATCTTTTTATCATCTTTTGTAGCAAAAACAAAAGCAACAGTAGGATTAAGTAAAAAGGTGATAGGTTAAATAATTATAAATAATTTACTATGTTTTCCTAGATTAATTCACAGTCTAAAACTTATTTATCCCTTTTTGTATAAACTCTATTTGTGTTTTTTAATAAAAATAACAACAGCTATCATTAGTTTTTTCAAACTTGGATAATTGTTCAATGCCCAAACAATTTTTTTTAATCATTTCACCCCAAGCAAGGCAATAAATCCACTAAGATGTAAGGTATTACTGAGTGTGAAATAATATTGGAAAAAATTATTTTTACAAGATGCACTATTAAAGTGAGAATACAATAAAAGAACAGGAATTAAGAAGACAGAAGATAACAATTGACATTCCATTTAAATTTTTGAAGATCAAAGTCAACTGAAAAGCAAGATGCTGGAAGAGAGTTTCACAAGCAAAAAGTGTAAGAGAAGAAACTCTTAGCATAGAACTTATAGTTACACTCTAGACCTAGATGAGACCTAGATGAGACCTAGATGCTAATCTAGTACTGCAGTTAAATTTGTAAAGTTGAGGTACCAAAGAGAAAAGCTCATCAGAACAATTACCATAAAAGATATTTATAGAAAAAGCACAGGGAAACTACCTTATAGTGGTGGGAAAGTTACAGAAGTCAAGATGCCAGTTCAGAACTGATAACATTGAAGATTCTTCTTTGAATTTTAGCAAGATACATACTAAAGCAGATGTGAAACAATTAAATAGAAAAAAATGGTAAGGGAAAATCTTACAGTTATAATCTTTTAAATAAAATAAAAACTTTCACACTATCCTGATATCATTTTTTTTAAAAAAATTCCATCCTCTCAGAAAGTTCTTTTTTTTATATTTCTCAGCAAGATAAGATTTTGAAGTGAAACAAGTAATAATTTAGAAATAATATATATATATATATATATATATATATATATTTATATATATGTGTGTGTGTGTGTGTGAAAAATGTGTGTATATAAATATAAATATAAATATATATATATATATATATAATTATTTATGCGTGGTACTTATTAGAAAGCGCTCAGTATCAGAGATAGAGCTAACATCAATCCAACCAAATATATGTATTATGATTTATCTAATTAATTATTCATTTTTAAATCAGAGGATAATATTTAAAAAATTACCAACTCAGAATTTATTGTAAAGAATAAAGATTGTATGTTTTTGTAATGAATTATTATTTTTTTCTTTGTCTACATCTATAAAATTATTAAATGGTTGTGAAAAAAAGCTGGTGGATTTGAACTTTGCAAAAAATGTAGAATGATATCATCATTAAAAAGATAAGTAAAAAATGAACAATATAAAAATTGAAAATAAAAAATATATGAAATACAAAAAATTTACATTTACAATTCAAATTTCCAAACCAACATTTTCTAATGAGTGAGAAAGAAACAATTAAAAAGTAGAACAATGTAAAAATATTAAGTTTTAATATGGAAAGTGAAAATAGCTTTCTTTCAACTGTAGAAATAAAAACACTGATAAAAATGTAATGTTAATTTTTTAAAAGTAAATCACAGACATAAAGACAAAAAATAAAAGAATAGACTTGTCTTTCGTTTTTAGAAGTTTTTTTCTTAACGTAATTTATAAAATTTAGCAAGAAGAAAACTTACGCCTAAGTAAGGCCCATTCTCCTCTTCCATTTCTTCTGATCCTGTTGCTGACATTTTAGAAGATTTAAAAAAAAATCTTGAAATGAATTATGGCAAAAAATTCAATGTCTTTTTTCTTCTACAAACACGTTTCTTGTAACTTGTTTATTGTTGAAAGCGACAAAGCAGCATTGGTTACCAAGCAACACGATACACTTAAGTAATGACTTTTGATTGGCTGACTATTATAGCACGTGACACTCAAAACTTGTTCGTTCATGTGTTTGATTAAAGGATTGGCTGAAAAGTCCGTTTTTGTCGTAAAGGACACGTGGAATGAGTAGTTTTAATTTAAAAATACATCGCTTTTGAATTTTGATTATATTATAGCAGCTGTAATATCAAAATTAACTTATTTTTTACTTACTGATTTTAGGTTTTTAACAATATAAAAGTTGAAAAGTATAATTTTCAGGATTTCTTTAAAAAAAGAAAAACGGAAACAAAAGTTAAACAATAACATTTTTAAATAATTTATTCTTAAAAATTCAATATTTATCCTAAATGTTTTGAAGTTATTTAGTAAATTTAAGGATTAATTAACTGTTTCTTTAAAAGTAAGATAAACCTTTTATTTAAAACTTAATGGAAATAACATTTACTTACGCACTGTAGTCTGTTGGGTCATAGGTAAAAATAATTAATAAAAAAAGAAATATATCCATTATTTAAAAAGCGCGCGAAAAATTAATGTTAAAAAAATACGAAACATTATCAATGTAATAATCAAGACATTGGTATTTATGTTTAAGAATACATTATTATGGTTAACCTTATATAATCAATAGTTGAAGAATATAATTTTTTTATTCTATACGATTTTATGAAATTTAATAATTTAATTTTTTTACTGCATTAGAAGTGTTTTTTTTTTTTTTTACTTTTGAGTTTAATACATTACTTCTATTTTTTTACAATTATTTTCGTACTTGGTTAAGGTCTTAAAATATCTAATTGCACCCAATGTGTGTGTGTGTGTGTGTGTGTGTGTGTGTGTTCTTAATTAATCTGTATTTAAGAGTTATTGAATTATCATATATCATCATATTACTACTTTTCCTTACCGGAAGACTTCCGGTAAGGAAAAGTAGTCAACGGTGGTAATTCAGAATGAGTTCTTTTTTGAGCATCCATACTAAAAATAATCTAATACAGTGCAACCCAGATATAAGAGACCCTGATATAAGAGAAACCCGGATATAAGAGAGATTTTCTCTGGTCCCAAATTGTTCCCATACTTACCTAAACAAAATAGACCAAACCCGGATATAAGAGAAACCCGGATATAAGAGACTTCTCCGGTCCCGACAACTCTCTTATATCCGGGTTACACTGTAGTTGCTAAAATGAACCCCCAAAAAAAAAAATCTCTATTAACAAAGGTTCACACTCGAAAATGGCATTAAACTTTACACTTTTCGATTGTTAAAAAAAAAACTCTAGAAACAATAACGGGATGAATTTCAAAATCGCCCTGAAAAATTACAGGCAAATATCTAAAAAAATTAATATTCAGTGTTTTCCTTCTAAAAGAAAATAAATATTTTACTTTTATTAAATTATGCAACCAGTAACTCTCAAAACATATTTCAAAAGTTTTATTGAATTATTTTGGTAAGTTTCGGGATGAATTTATTTGCAGCAGTTTAACATTTGATATTGCATAATTATTTTTTTTACTGAAATAACATCTTCAGGGATTTTCTTTATATAACTATGTACAATTTGTGAGATATATAAAAAAAAATGGAGTGAAACTGATGTAGCGTACGTACCAAATATAGCGTCGGGTCGATTCACTAAATGTAGCAGGAACACCAAATATATAGGTACTACTAATATTTATATAAATGATCCTTCCACGTACAGGATTCAAGAAATAATAACAACAACTTCAATTTGTTAACCAATATAGTGGGTCAGCCAATTTGTATTGGTTATAAATAGAAATAAAAACTGACCCTCTACAATTTTTACAATATCAAATGTAACAAAGACAACAACAAGAGAAATAATCAAGTAGAAGAAAATGTGAATTTGTTCAACAATAAATATTTTTTTATAAACACAACAAATACATAGTGCAAAAGTTGATAAACACAATAGAGTTCTTTAGTGTGTGTGTTACTGAAAGAATTTGAGCTACTGTACTGTATGTGTGAAAATGACAAGGTTTAGTTAGCTATATTTGTTTTTATAGGAAAATTAAACAGATGTTTTTTTGTGTATTAAATAGAAAAAAAGTATTGTTCTTGACTTGACTCACTGATTGTTATCGCTCATTAACCAGAGATTCTTGTGGAATGGAATATTTTGTTGGAGTGAGCGTTAAGCCTGGAGATGGTTGACAAAGTTTGTTGTTGTATTGAAGATAAAGTTCGTCTCCTTTGCTGTGTTGATTTCCAATGAAGTCAAGTGAATTGGTTTCAATATTTTAAGTGCCCACTGACCAAGTCGCGTCGAAGTTTCGTTTTTATTAGTTCTCTTGGTCACGTGGGGAGGCTCGTAAACATGTTTACATTTTATGGCGTCAACTAGAGGTCAAAATTTGGGTCGGTACCTTCGGACGTAGTTGACGACACCTAATTAATATTTTACAACCAATCAAAATACATCAGTTGTTATATTTGGCTGGGAGCCTCTATTTGTTTAACTTGCACAAAATTTAAGATTTAAAAAAAATGTAGGAATCTGATTCTACACCAACATATATATATTCAATAAAATACAACAAACATGAAATAAAATTGTATTCACAATGTAGATTAAATAGGAGGAAGTTCTTTCCCTTTGACTGTAGATTGATTGTAATCAACCATTTGAAGAAAGTTCTCTTCTGAGATAAATGTTCCGAAATAATTGTTAGAGCAAAGTTTGCATGTGAAGAATGGATGACACCAAGAATACAATTGCTTGAAATGTGTTGTGAATAAACTGTTTTGAATCAACAAAATTCTGGATGATTGTGCTTGGCGAAAGTTACAGAGAGAAAATGCAAGTTTGTAGTTACGAAATTCTGTGTCTGTGTGTGCGTTAGAATGTGATGAGCAAGATCGTGGATTTGTGTTGACGGCTGGGATCTTACTGGATCTTATTGGATCTTACTGGATCTTACTAGCGACTTGAGAAAAGTCGCCTTATTTAAGGAAAACTGGTAGGCTCCCACGGAATCACGGAAAAACTTGATCTTACATTAAAAATATGTGATTGGTTAAAAATTAACCAATCATTACACACGTACTAAACAGAACAGGTAAGTATGCGCAAAACCAAAAGATTCAAAGGTACGATTGCGATGGCTAAATTGTCCTATACAAAGATAGTAGTAATTTATTAGCCAATCGCAGGCGAATAAAATGACTTGGAGTGTATGTGGGTGTGAAAAATATAGTATCTGCTATACTGACACCAACAAATATGTTTCCAGAAAAATTTCTAATAATTATTATTATATTGGCGAAGAATGTAAACAACAAATTTAAAATTTCCGTATATAAATATTAATTAATTAAAGTTAAATTTTCAATTAAATCAGATATTTCCCTGATTTTTGGCAAATTTTTAGAACAGCAGGGTAGGAATTTTTTGTTTTTATTTCGGAAAAAAGAAAGGCATTTTGGTAGTACCTAGATGGCCGGACGTGGCAAATGTTTATGCGAGAAATCTCCTGCAGGAACTTCCAGGAATGGAACAACCCTTAACGCCTCCTGAAAGAGAAGTACTGTCTGGGGATAACGGCTCCACTCGGACACGGGAAATTACATTTTTTAACCACAATAGAGACAAAACAAAAAATACTCAAGGCCCCTTATCACACGTCTCAGTCCACTCTCGCAGGAGAGGTATTGTCTAGTGGGAGATTGAGTACCGCCAATACTGACTTTTGTTTTAGTAAGTTATTTCCCTTCTCGGATCTTTTCCCTTTTGGATTAGAACCAACCGGTGGGTCATGTAGAACACAGTTTTATATTTTCGGCCTGATTCATTCTCTCTCCTGCTACACTGGGAAGTTTATCAGTGTTTTAATAAAGAATCTTTCAACACAGTCTACCGGGAGTCTTGACCTTTTTCACCCCTTTCATCTTATTGGCATAGTGGCAGCGTTACGTTATGCTACTCTTCCGAGGCCCTTAAACTCATTTAAGGTAAGAAAAAGGCCCATTCCTCGCTTTGCTTACGCGGCATAGACTGTGCCATTTTTACTCCAATGGTGTCGTAAAAAACTCTTTAGAAAAGTTCGTCATGTCAACAACACGAGTATCTAAACAATGGTCATTATCTAAACAGGAGATAATAACTTCCTTCGAAGCATGGAAGCAGAGTATTCAGTATTCTCTATCCCTAGACCCAAATTTCGCCTCATTTTTAGTTGATGGTTTCACGTGGCACAAGAAAACTTCACGTACGCCTCTGCATGGTTTATGTATTGACACAGAAGAAGTCACTGAGAACATAAGGTTGCTTACCTGGAGTTGATGCACGGACAAATTGCGAACTTTTGTCCGATAATATCTAGAAATACCATCATAAAAAATACGTTACATATGGCAGTTCATCTGCCCGCACTTCGGATTCCAAATGACAAGAGGCCACTTCCTGGACTTTAACAACATCCGCCTGGAGATGGAGAGAGACCATTCTTTCTCCTGCTACAGGGAAGTTTACCAGTGTTTTAATAGAGAAGCTTTCAGCACAGTCTATGGGAGTCGTGTCCTTTTTCACTCCTTTCCTCTTAATATTGGCATACATTTAAATTTTAATCCACCAGTCCGACTGGGCCAGATGCAGGAAATAAACTTTTCTATTTTGCTATCCTAGTTCTACAAAGTTAGAATTTCATCTGAATTCCGACGGTAAAAATTATTTCTACTCTTATTAACAACCCAGTGTGTTGCTAGGTCAGAAGAAACTTGAACTTGTGATTAAAATAAAACCTGTCATTCAGTGGGTCCCACAGTGGCTCTAAGGACGAATAGGAAACGACGATGCATTCGCGCAGTTGGCTTGAAAAACAATTTCTTATCATCTTTTATGAGAGCGACAGCACAGTTTATTCGTTATTAAATGTTGAAAGCTGTAATTTGCATTGATAACTTGTTAATCTTTAATTTTAATGCCATGAATAATTTATTTCAGTGAAAATGGTGTAGATTCCTATGGTACTAATATACACACCTAATTTGTTAAATCTGTTTTGAAAACGCGGTTACGAAAAAAAACAAAAACAAAAAAAACAACAAAAAAAAAAACAACAAAAAAAAAGTTACGATAGCAAAATTGTACTAGCCAAGAATTACTCCCATCATATATGAGAAAAATGTATCTGAAGGAAAAGTGTTTCCAGAATTCAAAACAAAGAGACTCACTGGCTGAAAGTATTATTTTATAAACATTTATTCGTAAATTCTTCTTCACGGAGATTGAATTATATTTTTCTTTTTATTTATGAAAAATAGCTGAAATAAATTATATTACATTTAGGACGCTATTTTTCATTTTATTTCTGATAAAAGAATATGAAGTTAATTAAAGAAATGGAAGGAATGGAATTCAGTGCATGCAATATTGTTTTTAGAGCTTTAAAATCAACATTATTCTGAAGAAAATGTTTTCTTTTGATAACAAATTGTGATGGTCGATGGAAAATTTATGTGAAAAAGAAATTACAATTGTCTGTTTTTTATCACTAGCTAGAACAAAAACATTATCAACCAATGAGGTGTTCGGATTGGACTTCTCGATAAGCCTTATTCTGAGCCTAATTATGGCAACGCTTTGTCTATTTCAGGGAAATAAAAACCAATGTTCTGGAAAAAAAAGATCGAGAAGAAAACGCATTCTATGGATTATTTTGACGAATTTTTTAAACCTGCGCTAATTTGAAAATTTGAGCTTGCCAACCAAAATATAAGGAAGTTAGTTAAACTAGTTAAAATCACTATTCATTTGCACCTCGTCAGAATGAATAGTCAGAACAAATGAGATCAAGCAGAACAATTAATATGTTTAGCATGTAGAGACAAAGACTTTATGTTCTGAGATACCATGTGACCAACCAAAGATAGTCCTGGGTATGACGATAAACTACGTCCGGCAGCAAGGTTTCTGATCTGTAGATTGGAGGTTTTGAGGAGCATAGAAACACCTCTTAATTGCTGTTGTTACCAGGTCTACTATGGCCCAGGGCCGTAGTACCTGTTAGGGTTCCAGTTAAGGGCAAACAGTGAACTCCCCAAAACAAAACACCATAAAAGTATAAAAATATATTTTTTTTAGTAAAAATTACCAGCAATACATGTTTATAGCAAAATTTACCAACAATTCATTTTATCTGTAGTTGAAGGCATGTAATTGCGTTCAAAATATTTAAATTTTGGCTTAAAATAACTCATAGAGGTGTTGATATGCCGCTAAACAAAATCAGTTAAACAACCAACATGAAAGAACTCTTACATGACATTAATCCATATAATATCCCTCAATTTCTTAAAGAAATCAAACTCTATTCCAAAATATAACTCCAACAAAAGTGCCTTTAGTAATTATGTCGACACAAACATGTATATGCACAAAAGCTCAGTATCACCAACCATTTATTCAACTATGGAATCAGAATAAAATGTATCATATTTTTATTACTTCAAAGCTCCCAAGAAAATTAATTTTCGGCATTAAATGACCCACAAAGACTTTATATACCGTTAAACAAACAAAAAACAAAGCAACCAATGACTTCGGGTAACCATACGCAACTTAATGCAGACAATTTTGGACATGTGAAACAGGCCCACCAAGTTTTCCTCGGTGATAGAAGAAAACTTTATCACAATGATTTTCCTCCAATATTCATCATTCAACAACGGATGATTCCGATATTATGTTGATCTATCGTCCTCGAATATGTCAGAACACCCTGTGAAGTTTCCATGACCCCCTCAATCAAAGGCATATTTTAAAAACTTTATCAACTAAAGGTGTTCAAAAGAATATTTCGAGCAAGCTTTACACCCTTCTTTTTTCACATAATTTACTGTATTTTGTTAGGAAAATTCGTTCGTTTTTTCCATTTATTTTAATCCTATTATTAATTATCATTTAAGAATTTTAACAAATCAGTCAATATATTCTACTTCATGTTGTTATATACAAGTTGCGCTCTTAAACTGTTAAAGATCCCTCCCAGACCACTTATGCCCCCTTACCTAATACCCCGTTTCTTTTTCTTCTTCAGAAATTCTTTTTCTCTTTCTTAGGAGCTGAAAGCGGAAATTAGAAAACACTACGCCTAACCTAAGATTGTAGAATCAGATTCCTACATTTTTTTAAATCTTAAATTTTGTGCAAGTTAAACACATAGAGGCTCCCAGCCAAATATAACAACTGATGTATTTTGATTGGTTGTAAAATATTAATTAGGTGTCGTCAACTACGTCCGAAGGTACCGACCCAAATTTTGACCTCTAGTTGACGCCATAAAATGTAAACATGTTTACGAGCCTCCCCACGTGACCAAGAGAACTAATAAAAACGAAACTTCGACGCGACTTGGTCAGTGGGCACTTAAAATATTGAAACCAATTCACTTGACTTCATTGGAAATCAACACAGCAAAGGAGACGAACTTTATCTTCAATACAACAACAAACTTTGTCAACCATCTCCAGGCTTTAACGCTCACTCCAACAAAATATTCCATTCCACAAGAATCTCTGGTTAATGAGCGATAACAATCTGTGAGTCAAGAACAATACTTTTTTTTTCTATTTAATACACAAAAAAACATCTGTTTAATTTTCCTATAAAAACAAATATAGCTAACTAAACCTTGTCATTTTCACACATACAGTACAGTAGCTCAAATTCTTTCAGTAACACACACACCAAAGAACTCTATTGTGTTTATCAACTTTTGCACTATATATTATGTATTTGTTGTGTTTATAAAAAAATATTTATTGTTGAACAAATTCACATTTTCTTCTACTTGATTATTTCTCTTGTTGTTGTCTTTGTTACATTTGATATTGTAAAAATTGTAGAGGGTCAGTTTTTATTTCTATTTATAACCAATACAAAATGGCTGACCCACTATAAATTGGTGACCCCGAAGTTCAAATGTGCAAAGCAATATTTTAAAAACAGCATTTTATAAGAGAAATACTTTAGTTGTCACATTTTAAACGAAAACAATGGAAAATTCTACCAGCGAACATATTGAAGCGGCATTTTCCATCAGTCTACCGACGTACAACCACACCAACGTTCAAGTGTGGTTTGCGCAGTTAAACGCAATTTTTAATGCAAGAAAGGTCACGTCCCAACATGCCCGTTACGCTTTTGTAGTTGAGAAACTTCCCTCAGGTGTAGCATTAGAGGTAGCACACCTCCTCAGTGAAGTGCCGGCGGAGAAACCGTATGATACTTTGAAAGATGCTATACTATACCGCACGGGCGAATCAGAGGAACGTCGGTTGCACGATTTGTTTAACAACCTTCATTTGGGACACTATAAACCTTCCCAATTGCTTAGAAAGATGAAAGCTTTATTAGGTGACAGTACCATGTCTGACATAGTCCTCCGTAAACTATGGATGGATAAACTGAGCCCACAAACATCACAAATATTAGTGTCACTCCCGGGCGATTTGGACCTACAGCGATTGGCAGAAATCGCGGACAAAATATATGAGAATAAACCTCCGGGAACTGCTTCTGCGACACCACTACAACCTATTGTCTCTTCAGTCTGTGAATCACAAGAGTTATCGAAAATTAAAGATTGTATAGCCGAGCTTACCTCACAGTTACAAGCTCTACAAACCGCTATGCATCAGCAAAATCGCACACCCAACAATTTCACTAGTCGACCACGTCCATCACATCATACTAGGCGAAGATCACGTTCCACATCCAGAAGCAGGCCTATATTTAATACCTGTTGGTATCATTTTAAATATGGACAACAAGCGCGGCATTATACGAAACCGTGTAACTTCGACATAAACGCAGCTAAGGATAACAACACACAGCAGTCGGGAAACGACTATCCCGGCAACAAGTAGAGACGTTTGCTGCCGGAGGGATGCTTTTACATCCGAGATGAGAACTCCAGCTACTTGTTTTTAGTGGACACTGGGGCACAAATTAGTGTAATACCAGCCAAGCCTAAGATGTTGACTAGAAAGACAGATTATACGTTACAAGCGGCGAATGGATCTTCAATCCAGACATATGGTGAAACCTCTTTAACCCTAAATCTGGGATTTAGGCGATCTTTTCCGTGGGTATTCACGATAACCCAAGTTCGAACCCCAATCCTAGGAGCGGATTTCCTCGCCCACTTTAACTTGTCCGTTAATATGTCTTCCCTTTCTTTGGAGGATAAAACGACCAACATTACAAGGAAAGGAATTACATCTATTTATACGAGCACATGTATCAGCGCAACTCTACCTGAAGCCAACGGAATGCAGGATCTGTTACAAAAATATTCTCAAATTACAACACCATTCCGGTATACAGAAACCGTTCGTCACAATGCTGAGCACCACATTGATACTACGGGACCACCCACGCATTCATCTCCACGGCGATTGAGGCCTGATAAATATAAACTGGCGAAAGACGAGTTTCAGCACATGCTGGACCTCGGTATAATTGGACCTTCTTCGAGTCCTTACTCATCTCCTCTTCATATGGTTTCAAAACCAGACTCAGGAGCTTGGAGACTTTGTGGCGACTTCCGGAAGCTGAATGCTACTACAATTCCGGATAAATACCCCATCCCGCACTTGCACGATTTCGCAGTGGGTTTGCAGGGCGCCACAGTCTTCACCGGACTTGATCTGGTGAAAGCATTCCACCAGATACTAGTGGCCAAGGAAGACATCCATAAAACAGCAATAACTACTCCTTTTGGCTTATACGAATTTGTGAGAATGCCATTTGGTTTAAGGAACGCTGCACAATCTTTCCAACGGCTTATAGACGAAGTGCTGAGAGGTTTACCTTTCACCTTTGCCTATATTGATGACGTCCTGATCGCCAGTAGAAACAAGACTGAACATCGTGACCACGTTGAACAAGTTTTCCAACGTCTACAGCATTTTGGCCTTAAGATTAACGCAGAGAAATGTATTTTTGCTGTGCACTCGCTTCAATTTTTGGGACACGTCATTGACGCCCTTACCTGAGAAAATAGAATCTATTTCAAATTTCTCACAACCAACTTCACTCCGGCAGTTACGCCGATTCTTAGGCCTCATTAATTACTACCGGAGGTTCATTCCTGGTTGTTCCCAGATTCTGATTCCCCTCACAGATTTACTGCAACAACAGCGTCAGAAGAACTCAAAGATTACCTTGGAAGGTGAATCACTGACTGCTTTTCACAGAGCCAAAGACGCCCTTGCCAACTTTACGAAGTTATCATATATAACCGATGATGACTCAATGATCACACTGACAACAGACGCATCAGGCGACTCCATAGGGGCTGTGCTTCACCAGGAACAGGAGATGCTAAAAACCTATTTCGTTCTTTTCAGTCAAGCTAAACTCATCTCAGAAAAAGTACAGCGCATTTTCAAGGGAATTACTGGCAATATACTTTGGCAATCCGTCATTTCCGTCATCTTTTGAAGGACGGAATTTTGTGGTCTATACAGATCATAAACCATTAATTTATGCTCTGCACGCCAAGTCGGACAAATATACCCCAAGGGATATCCGACAATTGGATTATATTTCCCAATATACGTCGGATATCCGCTATGTAAAAGGGGCTGACAATATAGTAGCTGATACCCTATCGCGATCAACGATACAGTCAATTGACGCACAGACCTTGAATTTCGACTCCTTAGCGGAAGAACAAAAGACTGACACTACTTTGGAATCAGTAAAAGAAAAAACGTCACTACAGTTAAAGCAACACCCTGTGCCATTTGGTACACTACTGTCTATTGTGATGTAAGCACAGGATATTCTAGGCCCTATGTACCACCTTCTTTGCGAAAAAAAGTATTCGAACATTTCCATTCTCTGTCGCACCCTGGTCGAAGAGCGACTACTAAGATGATTAGTGATCGTTTCGTTTGGCCAAAAAAGGTCCAGTGACATAAAACACTGGACACAGACTTGTTTAAAATACCAGCAAACTAAAATACAACGACATACCAAGTCTCCGCCTGGTACATTCTCTAAGCCTGATGGTAGGTTCACCCACATTCACGTTGACTTAGTGGGCCCTTTGCCCGACATTGATGGGTACCAATGCTTATTAACAATAATCGATCGTTTCACTCGTTGGCCTGTAGCCGTTCCTTTAAAAAGTATTTCAGCGGAAACGATTTCCAGGTGCATTCTTAGAGAGTGGATCTCTATCTTTGGTTGTCCTTCAATAATAACCACTGATAGAGGTTCACAGTTCCAGTCAGTCCTTTTCAATGAATTTATAACCTTGTTAGGCGTAAAGCACATTTCTACAACCGCCTACCATCCATGTGCAAACGGCCTTGTGGAACGATTTCATAGGCAACTTAAGGCAGCACTAGCAGCAAGTGATGACTCCAGGACTTGGCTGGAAAACCTACCACTGATTTTACTGTCATTAAGAAATGTAGTCAAAGAGGACTTAGGATGCACTACAGCAGAACTAGTTTTTGGGAGTACGCTAACACTCCCTGACAGTTCGTGGAAAAGCATACTCCTTCCAGACCGACTACCTATTTCGTCCAGGATTTTAAACAAAAATGGAAAACCTAGCTTTTACTCCAACGCGTGCCCAAACAAGGGAGTTCTTTATGCCGAAAAATTTAGACAGTTGTGATTACGTCTTCCTGCGAAAAGATGCAGTTAGAAGACCCTTAAGCCCCACATAAAGTAATTAATAGAACGTCCAAGCATTTTACTTTACTTTTGCACGGAAAGCCTAACACAGTGTCAGTCGACCGGTTGAAACCGGCTTACATCGATTTATCTCATAAATCGCTTCCTGACCCTGAGCTAACATCTTCGACCCAGCCAGCGAAGCTTGCACCTTCAGCACCACCCGCGGAAGTTACTACTAAGTCTGGCAGACATGTTTATTGGCCTAGTAGATTTAAAACGTATATTACATATTGAGAAAATTTTCTCTCAAAAACTTTCACAATCTGCGGCGGGGGGGGTTATTGTAGAATCAGATTCCTACATTTTTTTAAATCTTAAATTTTGTGCAAGTTAAACATATAGAGGCTCCCAGCCAAATATAACAACTGATGTATTTTGATTGGTTGTAAAATATTAATTAGGTGTCGTCAACTACGTCTGAAGGTACCGACCCACATTTTGACCTCTAGTTGACGCCATAAAATGTAAACATGTTTACGAGCCTCCCCACGTGACCAAGAGAACTAATAAAAACGAAACTTCGACGCGACTTGGTCAGTGGGCACTTAAAATATTGAAACCAATTCACTTGACTTCATTGGAAATCAACACAGCAAAGGAGACGAACTTTATCTTCAATACAACAACAAACTTTGTCAACCATCTCCAGGCTTTAACGCTCACTCCCACAAAATATTCCATTCCACAAGAATCTCTGGTTAATGAGCGATAACAATCAGTGAGTCAAGAACAATACTTTTTTTTCTATTTAATACACAAAAAAACATCTGTTTAATTTTCCTATAAAAACAAATATAGCTAACTAAACCTTGTCATTTTCACACATACAGTACAGTAGCTCAAATTCTTTCAGTAACACACACACCAAAGAACTCTATTGTGTTTATCAACTTTTGCACTATATATTATGTATTTGTTGTGTTTATAAAAAAATATTTATTGTTGAACAAATTCACATTTTCTTCTACTTGATTATTTCTCTTGTTGTTGTCTTTGTTACATTTGATATTGTAAAAATTGTAGAGGGTCAGTTTTTATTTCTATTTATAACCAATACAAATTGGCTGACCCACTATAAGATCAAATTTTAAAATAAATATCTATTTAAAATATTTTAAAATCTCATTTTAAATAAAGAACGAGAATGGGGCAGTCTTTCCCGCATCGAACGACTCTGCCTAATAAAACATTGACTCTTCAAGTCGACAATACAAACAAATCAAAGGCAATAATTCCTCTTCTTGGGAAGAAAAACACCACTTCCAAATAAATGTCTCTTAGACAAAGATGAAACAAATCTCAAAGTCGCAAAGTACCTTTGTTATCTTTAACAACAAAGGTCTATATTTGCGTCAATACCTCAATAGGCCTTATAAGTGAAATCAAAATGAAATATAACTTTTCTCAAGCTATATTTAAACAAATTTATAACTTTTCTCAAGTTATAGTTCAACAAATTTTAGCTTCGGAAATCTACCAGAGCTAATAAAAAATCTCACTATCCCTTCTTACCATCCTTAAATAAAATCAGATATATAGCAATTAAGAAAATAATTCGATACTGTAAGTCGAATATTCGAGATAACACGTTACTTTACGTGGCAAACTAAATTAGTTGACCACGGAGCCAGAATACAAAGCGTCTTCTTAATCGATCAAGGAAAAATTTTTGACTGAGGACAATCTCTCCTGATCAAAGAAAGGCGTCGTCTCCCGCCTCCAACCCCATAAAAAGGTGTCAATAAAAAAACATCTTCCACTTTGCCATCAGAGGCGTATCGTTCCAAATTTCAATATATTAAATATTTCTTCATTGAAGTTATTGAAATGTCTTCGAATTTTAATATTCTAAAATTTTGTAAATAAAAAAATTCTCAAAAGACCTTTAGTTAAATGATTTTTATATTTTTCTATATGAGTAAATCAAAGCAGAATATTTTAACAACAACGTTGGTATGTAACATGAATGAACCTGTTTATACTCCCACTGGAACAGCAAGGAAAATGTGATGTTTCGTTTATACTTTGTGTCAACCACAATACCTCTAATAAATAATAATAATAATAATAATATAATAATAATAATAATAATTTCTTATTGACATGCCAGTCCTGCAGATTGTAATGGAGCTTTGAAGCTCTTTAAAAAACATCAAAATATAAGGATCTTGAAGTGGCACGTGAGAACATCAATAATTCCAGTTGTAGTTTGAGCCCTCGGATTGATTGGAAAAGGTTCCGATAGACTCATTGAAGGGGTTCCTGGTAGCCCATACCTTAAAGAAATACAAAAAAGTGTACTCACAAGTACTGCCCACACTTTAGGAAGAGCTTTATCTATGTAAAATGTTAGTTTTTTTTTTTTTTTTTTAACAAAAATGATCAAGGGAAAATGTTATGAAGTCATTTTTGACCTTAGGTGTCTGGTTGAGACCCGGAAAGTAATGTATATGCAACAGAAATAAAAGAAAACGTAATAATAACAATAAAACGGTATTGGGGCGAAAATGATCAGAAAATATAACTGATGTGCCACTGTCTGTCGGGACGCTTTCATGTGAAATTCTTTGGTAACCTAATGAACGAATAATCTTCAAAACGGTTGACCATATACAGCACGGGTGTCCAAATTTCTTCAAAGAGGGCACGATTTGATGAGGTGAATATACGTGAGGGTCAATCATTCTGCTTGGCATTCTTTGAACCATTAAAATTAAATGCAAATGATCTTATGAAAATTTTATTGCAAATGGTATATTTTCATTTCTTCACATTGATGACAATAAATTTAAACAGGTCTCACCAGAATCACCCAGCCTGTCATAACTGAAGCCCATATAACATGAGATAAAATATGTCTGAGGAAAAAGAACTTCCAGAAAGCTATATCGCAGGTTAATCTTAAATATTGCATATTACTGGTAATTAATGTTGTTTTACAACTTTTAAGTTTAAAAATATATGAATAGGAACATAACACCAACATTCATCTTATTAAGAAATAGAAAACATAAAGTCACATTATTTAAGCTTATAAATAGGAAATGATATTCTCACCTATTCTCTATTCCCTTTTTTTTTCTCTTACAATCCCCAAAAAAACGTTTTGTTTTTGCTCTGACTGGCAAGGTTTATTTTTGCGAAAGACTTCTGTGGAATATTCAATGTAGGTTTTTTCCTATTTTTGTTTCTTACGTTTTTACACTAGTTTTCTAATTTATTTTAATTTTTTTTCCTTTTTTTCTGTAATCGAATTTTTAGTTTATTTTAATTCTTCTTTTGTATCAATTATTCTTTTTATACTAACCTTTATTTGTTCAGCCATTTTGTCTGTTTTTCTTTCTTAAGTAAAACTTTACTTTTAAACATTAATTTTTTACGTGCCCCTCCCCTTTTTTATATTTTCACATTGAGATTTAGGTTTTAATATATTTTCCTTGCGTTGTTTATTTATATCATTTAGTTTTCTCACCAAGTATCATGTATTGCTTTTCTTGTATTGCGAACTGTTTTTCTTCTGTATAGACTGCTGGGGCCTCTGCCAAAAATGGCCTAGTCTCCTCAACATTTGGAACCCACACTCACAGCTGCAAGCCCTTCGGCATAGGCGACAAACAGGCCAAAACAGGAAGGGACCGAATATTATAATAGCCTGGAGGGGAAGTATAAATAATTTATTTCGGGCAACGAACTTTTGGCTATTCCCTCTGTAATAGAGGCAATCACAACTAGGATCGTATCCCTACTGGCAACGGACCTAATGTTTAGGAAGTTGATGAGAGCCAGTAGAGAGGTGATGGAGCCTCAATACTGGATCAGAAATATTGGCACATCGTACTAGAGGGCGAAGTTTAGTTGGCATTGAATAGGGTCGACAGTGGCAAGTCTCCGTCACTTGATGGTCTGCCCTCTGAATTGTGCTGTCGTACATCTTTGTGCCGATTTTGACTGTCGTGTTCAACAACTTGTTCTGACAGGAGTCCGTCCCTAACAGGATCTCCACGGGTGTGATCACGCTATTGAGAAAGGACAAGGATGGTGGGTGGGATTTAGATGATTACAGGCCCATAACTCTGCCAAACACAGAGTTAAAGATTATGGCCAAGTCAGTTGCCGAAATTTTATTGAGACCCGAGCAGACTTGTGCTGTGAGGATATGACACTGAGATCTCCGAAAGTTGACCAAACAAAAAAAGAGAAAGAAAGAAAGAAGGAATAGGAGAGAGTCTACTAATTGAATTTTGTTGAAATTTCAGGAAGATGGATTGAAAAGTTGAGAAGAATATTAAAAACGAAATGCTTTAAAAAAAAAATCATATTTTGAGATAATTCCAAGGAGAATAAAACCCGGATTTAACTCGACAAATTTCAGTAAGAACCGATAAGAAAGGAGATCATTAAGGTATCTGGGCAAATGCCAGATAAAATAAAAACATATGTTGTCGATAGAGAAATCCGGATGGGCAGCGAAATAGCATTCACGATTCCCCTGCATCACATAAAATAAAAACATGTTTCGATCCAACCACCCGGAAGAAAAGAACCCCCACGAGTTTGTCATTATAATTTTGGCGACATTCGTCCAGAGAAAATTTTATATCCAAACATTAATTCGGATTCCCTTGGATACAAGTAGTAAGAAAAAGAAATTACTATTTTGAAGTGACCATTGACAAGAAAGCTGTGTGGTCTATTCGATCGTAAAAAATGCATGAGACAGAGAAAAGATAAATTTTCGTTTTAAGAAGAAATAGATTTTTCTTTCTCTAATTCTTGAGTAGTCTGGTCGATTGGAAGGATCCCAGCAAACTGATATATAAGAACTAATGACTAAAAATCCATTTTAGCTTCGCTGCACCATCTGAAAATTGAATTTATCTCTCCAGTCCCAGGAAGCCGAGATGAGGCTGGCTATTGAGAAAGTGGGAGCAGGAAGAGGAGAAGGAAGAGAAAGAAGAAGAAGAAGAAGAAGAGGAGAGAGAGAGAGAGAGAGAGAGAGAGAGAGAGAGAGAGAGAGAGAGAGAGATTAGTACCGCATATATAAAGCGATGGTACGAGGTAAAGTGTAAAGTAGGAGTTAAAGGAGTTAAAGTGGCTTGATTCTTCTGACCATTCTCAAAAGGGAGCTGGACAACCCAGAATTTGGAAAAACCACTTGAGTAAATATATTTTTATATATGGAAATTTAGAAAAGGTACTTAGGGTAGAAGATAACCAAACCCGGACCATAGTTAACCCCACCTCTACTGGGCGCAGGACTACTCTGAGTCCAAAATTCACAGTTTATATGAACTGGGAATTTTGGACTTTTAGAGTTGAGAGGAGATTGTAGACACGACAAGAGGAACAGTGAGGGACACCAGAATCTGCATCGTTCATCGAGACCTCCTGACCAAAGACCTTATGTCGGAGATGAAGACCAGAACTTAGAAATTTAAGATACTACTAAAACAAGCTGCAAACTCCAACGGGAGATCCCAATGTCATTTGTTTATTACAGTAGTGGGAAGAACCTAAAACTGCTGTATACAACAAATCATATAAATCAAATCGTTCTTACATTTTTAACCCGAGTTAATTCTTTATTCCAAAGGATTATTTTTGTGTGTGTAGCTCCCAAATTGACGAACCGTCTTCATTTCAAGTTCGCTTCATCAACGATCTTCTCACCCTCTGAGATGAAAAACCCTACGTGGCAGTGGAGTGAAATGGTCGTGAACAGAGAAAAAAGTTGAGTAGAACCGTGCCACCAACACGATACCAACGACAAAACGAGTCACGCGCTAACGAGTGAAGAGTCAGGTAAATGGTAACCACGACAGTTTGAAAGAACTTGAGGACCGACGACAGGCATACATATTTGGTTACCGCTGGCCAGAGTTGACGCCGAGAGTTATGCATAAGGGGACGAACAATTCAGGGCAACCAGCATCTGACCTGAACGCTCCTAGAGAAGGTAAACGACGACGATGAAGCCGCGCTGATAAATTTGGATCAGTCCAAGGCAATCGATAGGGTCGACCATTGGTACCGGGTTGCTATCCCACAGGCCGCCGCATTCAAACCGGATTTCTGCAAGTGGATCAGCTTCCTGTATGTCTCCCACAGTGCTGTGGTGGAGGTGAACGGAAAGCAGCCGAGCGCTTTTGCGCTGTCAGGGTCGGTTCATCAGGGTTGCCCGCTGTCGCACCCACTTTACACTTTGGCGTTGAGCCCCTCCTTCGTCGATTAAAGGACAGAGTGTGAATTCCGGTCCGACGTGAAATCGCTGACCATAGCGGGGTACGAGCCAGGGTTTCCGCGTACGCCAAAGAGATATCCATTTGCATGTCGTGCCGCAGTGAGATTGAGGTGGTACAAAAGGTGTTTGAACGGCTCGAGAAGGTCACTGCAGTCAAGATTAACCGTAACAAGTCTTTCGGCTTGCGGTAGGCTGCCTGGAAGGGCATCGATCTTCCCGGGTCCTTCAATTGGACTGATGGACCCGTCTGCATTCTTGGAGTGTAGTTCGGGCCCGGGATCCAGCTGAAGAAGAATTGGTCGGAAGTACAGGCAAACGTCAGAGTAGCGACTGGGTCTTGTCTGTAAAGGCTGAGGCATGCGCCACGTCCGCCTTTCTTCTCATCCTTTACCAGTTGTCTGTACTCCCGCTCTTGCAAGGAACGTAAAAAAAGCGCTCGATCGCTTGCTCTTCTCCCTCTTGTAGGTTAGTCGAAGGCATCATGTCTGCAGAGAGGTTTATGCCCAACGTTCGTTTCATGGGGTAAGGACTATTAATGTCATACTTGGAGTGTCATCGACACACCTCCAGGTTGGCTTTCCTATGCTGTGCGTTGACAGAGGGTTCGATCTTAGAGAGAAGTGTTAGGGAAGCCTTCGCTAGCCTTACCATCACTCCTCCCGTTTCTAAAGCCGAGCGTCGCGGTAAGTCCTGGAATCAGTCGATATTCCCCAGACAATGTCGAGCGGCCTTAAAGGCCATTTATCGGCCCACTGGATTTTCACAGCTTAGGAGTCTTTTGTATCGGGATTTAGTGGAGGGGATTGCGAAGGATCCACTCCGTAGAAGATTTGGCTTGTCGGCGACTGAGTTGTGCTCTTTCTGGTCTTGGGCACCAGCGGCGGATTACCTCATCAACCCTGAGGTTTCGCTTACCTGGCGATTGATTCGGAACGTGCTATCTCTCAGTGACGTAGCCTTCAGAGGGGGCTGGGCGGATTTGCTTGACTGCCATCGGCATGACCTTAGTGTAGAGGAAACGTCTTCGCACGCCTTCTACCACTGTCCTTAGATGCGCCCGTTCTGCGACTATGTCGTCGAGTTGACGGCTCATATCGACCTTGAACATCTCGTGTCCGTCGATCTTGCGTACTCGTGCAATAATGCGTCGCCTCTCTAGGGTGAAATGAATGGTGTTTCTCACGTTGCTAGCCGTGGCAAAAATGATGATATGGACGCTATTCTCACTGGGATCTTGTCGGATTCTTTGGGCATCAGCTCAAGGTGAAGATCAGAACTGATAGAAAGCAAATCGACAAATTTCAGTGAAAGGTCGATGAAAGAGGCGAGCTATATAAAAATATAGTAATATGAAACAACTGCAAATTTCAAAACTCTAAAAAACATCTACACGACATAACTAACTGGACAAGATGTTCTCCAAGTCAGCAAATATTTTTTCAACAAGTACAAACCAAAAAATCCCTAATAGCCATTAGAATTACTATTATGGTCACGGGCGAGTAATACTCATTTAATCTCTTCTGCCTTTTCTTAACCCTTTCTTTATCTTAGTCACGATTACCTCTAACTTCTAACTCCACCGGCAGACATACACAAAATATTTTTTCACCAAAACGAAAAATACAACTTTCATCTTAAAAGTTTGAATCATGCAAAACGCAGCTCATTTTCTTCAAGAATACCACCCAGAATTCACAACTAAACTTATGTGTACCACACGAGAAAATACCACTTAAACACCACAGAAGTCAAATCCATTCTCAATTAAACAGCACTGTTTCGCCTAAGCTCAACAGATAAAGATGTGAAATAATTCTAAGGCGGCACTCTGACCTTTCACTCATCAAAGATGTTAACATAAACAAAACTAAGAAATCTGCAAGTATGATTTAATAATACACGGAGATGGCTTCATCTCTGAGAACAATCGACAATAATACCAGATATCTTTAAAAGTTCTCACAAATCATGCATTCCACACTGGGTAGCTATTTCACCAGCATCAGCTCAGCAACTTTACAAATCAAAGGTTCTTCCATTGAAATTTTGTGCATCAAGATTATCCACGCACAGCAAAACAAACCAGGCTTTCAAACAAAATCAATTCAGTTGAGCATTGGAAAACAACAAAATTTTAATATCAGCTACTGATCTCTCTCTTTCTACACTATTGACAATAGAACGTTCTACATTCTAACCTATTAGAAAATTATGCAGCACCCTGATGACGTAGTACTTCAGTCAACTACATTTTCGTCGACATGTTTAAACACGCATATCTCAACGACACTATTCGACTCTTTTTCTTTTCAGCTTATGAGTGAAAAAACAAGCATATGCAAAATTTGCAGAATAAATTTCTCCCCAGCTGAAGGGGGGGGGGTCTCGTGAGTTACCCCACTTG